AATGGCTTATTTGGTCGTTTTTTACTACTTCACGGACTTGATTGACTCGATAAAAAGTACATAGACTTAATTGACTTTTTATCAAAAGTAGATGGACTAATTTGACAGTTTTTAATTACGAATTGATTTACAATGAGGGGTATAATCGACAAATTAAACGCACCAGTCAACCAATTAGTCCTATTTAGGGAATAAACCAACAAGAACTCCTATTTTGGAATTTTATCATTCTTTTAGTTCCATTTAGGGCAATTACTCCGAACATTCTTCTGCACATTGAAGCATCCGACACAAGTTTTTTGCTTTTGACTTGCCAATTGAGTCGGATTCCTCATCTTTATAGTCGCCAAAACTTTCAAAGGGTCTAGACATCAATTCCCCGATTCTCTCGTAAGCTGTGTAATTAGCTTAAGTCGTTTCATACCTCTACACATCGAATCCCAGTCAATTGGTCCTCGATTAGCCATTTTATTTTCCACACAAACATTGGACCGGGCATCACTTATTTATACAAAAAAGAAGTCACGGATTTGTCACGGATTCGTCCGTGACTAAGGGAAGTTATTCCTTGTCATCGATCTGCCCGAGGAGTTGACAGAACGACTAAAAAAACTATAGTCACGGTCAAATCCGTGACTACGACCATGACTAATTCAAAATTTTGAATTAGTCACGGTCGTAGTCACGGATTTGACTGTGACTACGCCAGTCAAAAGGGCCCTGACACCTCGTCTGCCGCGGCCTGATTGCGTTGAATACGAAAGGCTTAGTCACGGATTTATCCGTGACTAACGGATTTGTCCGTGACTACGCCAATATATAAAAACAACACCTAGCGAATTTTATCATTCTCATCCTTTCCCAACCCTAAACTCTCTCTTCCACTCCTTACTCTCTCTTCGATTCTTCCCCGGACCACCGCCGCCACCGTGCCACCGCCGCCACCGTGCCACCGCCGCCGGCTCCGCCTTCCGCCACCTTCCGCCGCCATCAAGGTTATGTTTTCTGACTTCTAACTTTTCGTATTTCAATAATTAATCATAATTTTTTTAAATTTTTAAAAAATGCATGTTGAATACTCAAATTAGTTGGATCTATTTTATACACCCTGATGTAGATGACACCCTGAGCAGACTCCTCAACTTCCGCAGATGGGCGGTTATTTCCGTTCCAACTCTATGTCCGGGTTGCCTTCATATGGATCTTTTCAGGATATCAATTTTCATAACCTGTTTCAAACATCTGGAGGCAGGCAAGGAGGAGGCAGTCGGGGAAGCCAAGGTGGAGGCAACCGCGGAGGCAACCGAGAAGAAGACGAGACCAAAGAAGATTATCTAGAGTATGATGAATCTAAATACTATCATAATGGCCGGAGGAGCTTGTAAATGATACATTTTTAATTTAAATTGAACATTGTTTATTTATACTATAATTCTAGTCTGTTTATTACTTTTATTTCAGTCTGTTTATTAATTTAAATGTGTATTCTAGTCTGTTTATTACTTTTATTCTAGTCTGTTAATTCCACAACAATTTTTTTAAAATAAACTTTTTAAAGTAAATTTAAAACATAATTCTTAATTTTTTAAAATGAAAAGTTTTTTTGAAAAAAATAAAAAAATTAGTCACAGATCTAAGCCGTGACTAAATTGTAGACCGGAATTTTTTTTAAATTCTTTTAAAAATTTTAAAAAAAATTTTTTTAAAAAAATAAAAACTATAGTCACAGATAATGTCCGTGACTAAATTTGAAAATTTGAAAATTTTAACGCTAACTTAGTCACGGATTTGTCCGTGACTAACATGTTCGAATTTAAAAAAAAATATTAGTCACAGATCAGGTCCGTGACTAATATAAAAAAAAAATAGTCACGGATAATGACTATGACTAACTCCTCGGCGCGGTTATTCCGGTCACAAATCAGTCACGGATCGTGTCCGTGACTAATCAGTGACTACGCTTAGTCACGCGAAAAAGAACGTGACTAGAATTAGTCACGCCCATATAGTCACGGATTTAGTCACGGAAAAAATCCGTGACTAGCAGAGTTAGTCACGGATTTTTAACACCACGGTCCGTGACTAAATCCGTGACTAACGTCCTGTTTTTTTGTAGATCGGTTGTAACCGATCTAAAATAAAGTTTCATAAATTCTGAAAATTACCCCATTTTTTTATTCACATCGGTTGCAAATATAACCGATTTAGATTATTTCTTAAAATTCGATAAAGTACCCCGTTTTGCTCTTTCACATGGGTTATGACTACAACCTATGTAAAAAAGATTATAAAAATTATAAAAGTGACCCGTGTTAGTAGTCTACATGTGTTTTAAAATAACACATGTAGAAAAGGAGATGTAAAAAGTGTTTTTTTACTAGTGGAAAGTGCTTGAGAATTGTAATTGAGTATCTTGCGAGGCTAGGACTTTGCCTCGAAAAAAGGGCTAGCAACATAAGCAAAGCCAACGCTTTTATTAGCGTCGGTAAAAGTACTAGCGACACTTTTTAGCGTCGTCATAGGCAAGTATAAAACGTCTTGAGAACCCATTTCTCTACTAGTATACCTATTATTGCTATTAATGTACCGTCCACTTATATATGTACGCACATACTTCTTATATAATACTCCCTCCGTCCCAAAATGGTTGGCCAAATTTCCATTTAAAGTAAGAAATATGTGGCTAATGTCAATTCTCTCTCCTCTGCACAAATTTCAACCACACAGTTTTTACTTTATTAATCCACGTGCAAGTCAACATTGGCCAACGATTTTGGGATAGAGGGAGTAGTATTCCAATATTGTGTACTAAATGTTATACTCATATTATTAAAGTCAATTTTTTTTATCAACCGGTGTTAAAGTTAAATGATCCCTATTGAACATTAATTCATGTTTAATAATTGAAATTTACATATTCAGAAACTATATTAAAATCTCTATAATGTTGCAAAATCCAAATCGAAATTTATTTATTTTTTGATAGGATTGGAAACTGACTGATTATATTAAAATACAAAGATCAATGACAATCACTACAAGAAAAGTGCACATAGACCGCACATAGACCATTTTTTTTGCGATGGCCGCATAACTGTCGTTAAAAACATCATTAACCACACATTTTTTTATTTACCACATACAAAACTGTGGTAAAAGGTCATAGACGACAGTTTTTAACCGTAGCCAATGTTTTTACCACGGTTGTTGTGGCGACGCACGTAAAACTGACGCAAAACTGTCGTAAATGTTCCTCATTACATTTTTACGACAGTTTTGCGACAGTTTTACGTGCGTCGGCACAACAGCTATGGTAAAAACATTGGCCCCAGTTAAAAACTGTCGCCTCTAAGCTTTTACCACATTTTTGTGTGTGGTAAATAAAAAAATGTGTGGTTAATGGTGTTTTTAACGACAGTTATGCTGCCATCGCAAAAAAATTGTGGTCCATGTGCAGTCTATGTGCACTTTTTTTTGTAGTGAATACAAACTTATCAATACGAAGCAGGCTCCTACGACTAAACTCGCCATACCCGAAGGTTCCCTCGCCCTCTGATTAGACATAGAAATGAACACCCTAGCTAAATCCTAATGAGAGCGGATCGAGTCGCTAACCATGTGAGACATTTGAAGATCATCTCGGCTTCTAAAGCCATCTTACTTCTTCGACAACAATACCTACAAACCTAAAAAACATGATCCATCCGAAACACTAAGGATCCAAAATTAAAACCAAAAAGGAAGAGAACAATAGTAAAATGCAAACTAAATTTCAACGCGTGGAGCGGTAAAATCCGTACTACATTCGTCTTCTTCCATACCCTAGTCTTGAAGCTCCTCTGAGGTGGCGGTTTTGGAGGGGGACGAATCATCCGCATATTGTCTTCTTCCACTGCACCACCACATGAGGCGGCCAAACCTTTCGCACCAGTCCCTCCACCACCCAATTGGAACCCAAGTTCACCCCTTCTACCGAACTCCATAGTGCCAATGTTCCACCCAGATCAAACATGGTTGATGTAGCTTTCGTCTCAAAAATTAACAAAGCCAGAATAGCCAAACCCAACAGCGGACTATCGAGCCTAACAAACCTAGCCGTCATAGGAACACGACCACCTCTGGACCCATTTATAGCTCCCATCACGTCGGCTCTTCACCTAAGGATATGCGATCTGTCACGTCTTCCTCCAAGAAGCCCCTCACTGACCTCCGTCAACCAGAGACGTCTTCAACACAAAATGGCAAATCCTTCCTCGATCAATCCCCTAACTTCTCCACGATGTTGACCAGAGCCGAACTTGCCCCGTCCCTTGGATGACCGCAGGGCAAAACAGAAGCAACGTACTGACTCCTTCAACCCAACCGTTAAATCCACGATCCAATCAGAACTCTGGATGTAATCGTCACTCCGATCCCACCGATCACGCCACACACCCCCCCCCCCCCCCCCCAGCGCTTCTACGAATGAAAACTGTCCAAAGCTAATGCATGCCTAAACCCTAGGCTCCGTCCGCGGCTAATTGAAATTTAATTAAAAATTGATATCCTAATTAAAGTGAATAAAATGTATCCATCATTGTTAAACTATAAAAAAGAAATTCCCCTACCTGTTTTTAAATTTTAAATTTGTAATCTATTTCAATTTTATATTTGTAAATGATTATAAATACTTTGTATTTTAGTTGTTACCGGCCGGCCAGTTTCTCCGTTGGCCTCACCCTCCGAGAGTCTGAGTCTGATCGATATTTAACCCGGTCACTTGTTCGTGTCGCCATCCCTTAGCTTCCGATTTTGACAATATAAATACTAATTACAATAATTTATCATGGCCACCTAGCTAGCATTAATGACAGCCAACATGCTTGCAAGAAATCGGGAGAATTAAAATATGATCGAGATATATGGCGTGCGGAGTGGGCGTTGCTTATGATGAGCATAAAGTGTGGCGTAAAAGCTGAAGTTTAGTTTTAGTTTTATCTGCAAATTTGTGTTCATATTTCCCAGCATCCATGTGCCGTCTTCATAACGATCATCCCTTATATAAACACCACTACTGCTCCCATCCTTCATCACATTATAATTAATAAGTTCACATATTATATTCTGATTATTATTACTATTATTGTTATCATCATCATTATTATATTATTATTGTTGGTATTATTATATATTATAGTGTTTAATTATTCAAATAAATACACGAAATTGAAAATGAGACAACATTCCACGAGTTTGTTGCGTCTTGTATTGGTTTGTTTGGTTTGTATTTCTTCCCTCGTCAACTCAGAAAGCCCATATAGGTTCTACGACTTGGTTGTTGAGTATGGAACTATTGCTCCTCTACGCGTCAACCAAACGGTAATACATATCATTAATTCTATTATTAGTTGAGAAACTCGTTGAATAAAGTCACAAAATCTTAAAAATACACCACTCAACCTATTGAAATAAAACAATAATCCACTTTTATTAATTCATGTCGGTAATATATCATGAATACGGGTGAACCCGGTCCACAATCCTAGACCAATCGGGACCGAAACCGATTTAATTTGATTAACAGGATCAGATAAGACCTTTTTTTGATTCAGGTATGGGAGCACCACCCGTGCCCGAGCCACCGGCGTGGCAGCGGTGGTCCCAATTATGATACTTGGGACCGCAACTATATGTACACTTGATCTAATTAAACGTATGCAGGGACGGAGGGTATACGTACTAAAAATAAATTTCATTTACAATCGTACAAACATAAATTATATTTCATCTAAACTTCATTTTACATCACAAATTGGTAATGCTACGACTACGTACTTGCGTTGTCCTGTGTTTTTCAAAATCAGGGGCGAAACTTTTTTATGGGCTTATTATAAGCGTTATAAATTATACGGAGTATATACTTTTTTAACTAATGAAATTGGTATAATAGCATTATGTATAGAGTTATAACAAGTATTCGTCACGTATATACCACGTATAAGATTTACTTATAATAACTTTTTCTGTAAATACTAAATAGTGTAAAGTTAAAGTTACTTTGTACAAGTATATTTATTACATGCTACGTATAATAATTTACTTTTAGATTAAAAAAACTTCAATTGTGAATTGACGATAGGATAAAGCAGAAAAACTAGATTGATTTAAACTGAAGATCGAGAAAGAAGAAGAGAAAAATGTGGCTAATTAGATTTTTCATAATTTTAAGAAGAACAGAAATTGGGTAGTAAGAAGAAATGAAGATGTAATTTTTTAAAACGTTAGGTTAAATGATGCCGTTGGGATGATATATAGCGACCTATAGAAATGATGATAATCCCCCTCAAGCATGCATTCAAATTCATTAGGTGCAAGGACAGATCCAGGATTTCGAGTCAAGCATGCAAAATTTTTTGGTTATCGCAGGGGTAAAAAAATCACTAGTGTAGCGGGGCGTTTTTTTTGCTAGTGTAGCGATGCGAAAATTTTTCACTAGTGTAAGATTTTGCGGCTATTTATATTCAAAACAATTCATTAATACATACCTGACGATATTTAAATCTATATATTACATTCAATTCTAAGATTAGACAATGGCAAAAAACTTTAATTTATAATTGAAGTGGTCAAGAAAAAGTATTGATACATTATAACATCAGAAATTGCAAATCAAAGGAAAACAATTTTAAAATAAAAAAGATATATAATATTTTATTTGAAGATAAAGAGTTTAACATGTACACATTCACCAATACTTTTGAAATAACTTCTACATTGTTAAACTAGATGAGTTTTATAGAAATAAAGATTTGATTTTTGAATTACATTTTTTGTTTACAAAGGAGAGGTTCATGAGTCACGAGAAGTTTTCTTAATACTACAATAGTACGTATGAGATTATAATTTTTAGAATAATATTATATTGCAAGTTCAAATATATAGTGCATATTTTTTTTTGATAGAATATATATAGTGCATATTTATTATATTTGTATTAAAGCTAAAATAAGTTAATGTTTATTATCTATGCAATAAAGTATTTTTAGAATGTAAGATGTAAATGACTTGGTAATTTAATGTCAATAAACATTCGTATTTTGGATTCACTTCACATGATCTAAAAATTGTGCAACTGGTGTTTTTGGTATTTAGTATCTTTGGATAGTTTACAAAATCGAGTACTAGTTATCTTATAGAGATAATTAAACATTACAAAACTAAGAATTTTTATGTAATAAGTATCCTCAATATTAAACAATGACTTGTTCTATAGTTTAATTTATTTATTTAAGTTATATAAATTATTTTAGATGTTATGTATAACTATATTAATTTCGAAAATTAAAAGTTAAGGGGGGCGAATCTAATTAAAGTATGAAAATTTTACAAAAATATTACACATGTAGTAGAAATTTTTGAAAGTCCAAGGGGGGCGGTCGCCCCCCGCGTTCCCCTTTAGATCCGTCCCTCATTAGGTGAATTCATAGAGTGATTTTTTGGGATATTTTTATTTTTTTTAACATGATTAATATAATTAATGATATGGTCCGTGATCAATGATTACTACTAAATTGTAAATTGGTTTCGTTCATGTTGTCGGGGACAGGGTATCTTGATTAACGGCCAGTTCCCTGGACCTGAGATTAACGTTGTTACTAATGACAACGTTATTGTAAATGTGTTCAATAAGCTGGACGAGCCTATACTTCTCACATGGTGAGTGCTATATTGGTTTTACTTAGAAGTCTTGTACATTTGTTCTTTACATAACATCTAACCTTCAATATCTTGGAATGATGATAAATTTATTATTCGATGGCTCATAAGATGTTAAATATTTGTTTCACACGGAAAAGCTATAAACAATAAAACATTACATAGTATATAAGATTTTGAGATATTCTTCTTATAAGGTTGACCTTTTAGGATAGAAATACAGGTCTTAATATGCTATCTGAGTGAAATCCGGTAGTGATTTGATAGGTTAGCACTCATGATTACTCGTGATTAGGGGTAGTTTGATGAGGGTATGTTTCGCCTATTTATACACCCCGATATTGTCCAGTCCGTTTCGGACTGAGAGGGCATGCTAAAGTATTTGTCCCACTTCAAAAAATTAGAAAATAATAAAACGTTATATAAGAATTTGTCTATCAGGTTGACCTTTTAGAATGATATCATGAGTCTTAACAAAACCCTAATAGTGTGACTCATATATGATTGATTCTTGGCACATCGATCATAAGTTTTTTTGTTGTATTACATACCTAGTCTATTAGAGTATCTATTCAATGTTAAATGCTAACATTCTTGATTGAGATAAATTTGTTTATAAGTTAGCTTATCAGTTAGATAACGGTTTTTTCATGTGCCATTATCTTTGTTAAGTTTCAACTTAGTAGTCTTTAGTCTTGCAACTTTTTTTATCCTGGCCATCGGGAAATGAAAAAAATTACTCGTAATTTTTTCATGTGCCATTATCTTTGTTAAGTTTCAACTTAGTAGTCTTTAGTCTTACAACTTTTTTTATCCTGGCCATCGGGAAATGAAAAAAATTACTCGTAAAAATCAGGAACGGAATTAAACAGAGGAAAAGCTCATGGACGGATGGAGTTCTGGGGACAAATTGCCCAATTCTCCCAAACACAAATTGGACATATAACTTACAAATGAAAGACCAGATTGGGACTTACACATATTTCCTCTCTACCCAATTGCACAAAGCAGCCGGCGGTTTTGGCGCCCTAAACATCATTCGTAGAGACGTTATTCCACTTCCCTACCCGGAACCTTCTGGTAACTTCACTATGCTTGTCACCGACTGGTGGAACACTGATCACAAGGTTGGTTATATTTTTGTCCCACACTCAAGAACCTAGAAATGATTGAATTGAATGAATGGTTAAATATATACTCTTACAATTATAAAAGTTAGCATCTCCCTACCAAAAAGATTGGTCAATTTGTAATTATAAATTTTATACTTTTTTGAAAGATTTTTTAGTAAACAATATGGTTTTTTTTAATGTGTGCCCAGTATCTTTTTTTTTTTTTGGGTTAACAACCGACCAATTTATTCGAAAAGAAAGAAAGTACATAGAGTAGGAGGGCCAAACCAATGCCTACTCAGAAGAAAATACATAAGGATAACTAGTAGCATCAAATTTTAAGATCCTAACAAAGCGATTAAAATAGTGAGTAGTCTTGGTACTAACAGAAGTGTTATTATAAGCTAAAAACTCTGCTGCGCAATTGATCTTTGGATGAATGTGGGTAATCGACCAGTTGTAGGTAGTGATCCTTCTCTTGATTTCTTGTATCCGAGGCCAGCATTTCCAATGTTGTGAAACCACACCTGTTAGTCCTTCATAGATATCCCTATTATCCACCTCAAGAATAAAATTATTTAAATTTATCTTCTTGATATTGAGAATAGTTTCTATGATGGCATCATAAGCAGCTAAAGTGGTGTCTCTATTGAGAGAAATATAGGTCATATGGCCCATGTAGTTTCCGGAGTATGGTTACACTATCATCTACGGAGTATATCGCATTAATTGCAACATTGTAAATTGCACACTATTCATGTACTCTACTTTGACTACATTTTATTTATAATGTATGTGAATTATTATTTTTGAAAAATATTGTTGAATTCGCCTCGTCATTAAAAAAGTTTCATAATCTGATTTTTAATAATTTTTTACTAATACAGAATTAAATATAATGACGGTCAAATTTGTGCATTGGAAAACGTGAAAAAGTGAATGTTGCAACAAAAAAAGAATGGAGAAAGTATAATTTTCATATTTTAAATAATTTTGTATTAAAAAATATCATTGGTCAAACTTAACCAACATTGACCAAGAAAAGTTAAATTGACCAATCTTTTTGGGACAGAGAGAGTAATTTTAAAACTTTTTCCAATTTTGTATATATATATATAAAGTTAAATTATACACCCACATACTTTTCCATTCATATCTTTACTGGTCATTTTACGTGTTAACAATTAGTCGCAACTCGCAAACAATTAGGTTACTAGTTTTTTTGCAAACTGCTAATGAAAGTGGTTTGTTAAAAACTAACAGATCCACTAGTATCAATCTATTGATTCAAGTGGCTATTAGCTTGTAGACAATTGCTATTATGAAACACGAGTGTTGACATTTTTAATCCTTCATTTTTCATGACAAATTCAAAGTAGAAGGATTACAATTTCAATTTCACATACTTAATACGTAGTATATGAAATGTTATAAATTTTAAAGTCAAAGATAAAAAATGTCATATTCACCAAAATATTGACCAAATTTATCAGTAGGATTTTTTTTTAACGATTTGGTAATTTGGCCGTAAGCATGTTGAAGTACTTGGTTCTAACTTCTAAATATGTATTCTTTAATTTTGGCTGATGACTTCTAAGGTACTACGACGACTACTAGATACCGGGAAACCTTTCCCATCCCCTAATGGACTTCTGCTCATGAATGGACTCCCCAACAATCCTGTTACCTTCACTGGCATTAAAGGTACGTAAGTTTCATTTTTCTAATTTAACTTGGCTTCTACATTTGCCCTCACGTCAATTCGTTAACTTACTTATCGATTGAATTATTTATTCTCTTTGCGCAATTTACACAAAATATGTACAAAAAAAGGTGCACACCGAGCAGCTACCATTTATTTTTGAGTTTTGGTTTTTCCAATTATCCACAGGGAGGACTTATATGTTTAGAGTTTCAAACGTGGGCATGCTGAGGTCAATCAATTTCAGGATAGAAAGCCATAAACTTCAGTTGGTGGAGGTCGAAGGGTCCCACACAGTACAAGACCTGTATGATTCATTTGACATCCATGTCGGTCAATCTGTGGCGTTTCTAGTAACCTTAAACGCAAGTGTTAAGGATTACTACATAGTTGCTTCGACCCGTTTCGAGTCGCCCATTTTCAATGCAACGGGAGTCCTTCATTATGCCGGATCCACGACTAAAGTCTCCGGACTACTGCCTGGTCCGCCAATTGGTCAATATCCCTGGACAATGGCCCAAGCAAGGAGTATCAGGTAACGTTACTTGGTTCACTTAGGCAATAGGCACTTACTTATCTAAAGAGGCGCATGAGTCTCTCAAGTATTACCCACAACGGTTAATAAATGAATTATAATGGTTGGAAAATATGTTAATAAATTGCATTAAATGGTCATTTTGGAATAATATTTTGAGTGGCGTTGACTTCGGATTAGATTCGGGTCAAAGTGGTTTTAGATTGTCCTTGCTAAGAGCTACAATTCGATATGTGGTACGCTCAAAACTGATAACGGGTGAATGAGAAATTAATTCTCGAAATTCACCCATTGAAATATATGGAGAAATTAGGAAAGTGATGAGTTTCTAGTGTGATTATCGCACACCGAAAACGAACGTTGCAACACTCCTAGCACATAGGGAGGCAACAAATAAGTTTTAAGCACATCATGCGTAGCACGAGCTTTAGCTAAATTCTGCCCCATCTTTATTCTGTTTTTCTTTAGTCATTTTAATTAATTTTAATTATTTTTTTTGTTTTTTCGAGACGCACCCAACATTACAAATATAAATATATCAAGCTACCACTACAAAAGGTAATGTAATGGGCACTAATTAATCAATGATTATGTGCCAAATGTCTCATGATAAAACAGAGTTGTCACGGAATTTGACGTAATTGTGTCAAGGTCGTGCCCAATCTTCTATGTATTTTGACGAATCCTTGTCAAAGATTCATGTCCATCCCGTTATCTTTTTGTTGTGTATTCAACCAGATATCTAGGAGCATGAGTCCGATATCTTTCGAATTTAATCTATTAGTTTATATTTTCCAAGCACCGAGAGAAGTACTTAAATGCTGAGTTGTTCCTTATGAAGTACGAGAGCTTGTAGTAGTATGTTTTCGTATCTCAAACTTTACATAAACTATTTAGAGAAAATGCACAAACACTCTAAATGACGTAATTAGCGTACCATTTTGTACTTTTTCACGTTTCTCACGTTTCTGTGCATGATAGATTGTGCTGATTATATATGGTTTGAGTAGGTGGAACTTGACGGCGAACGCTGCGAGGCCAAACCCACAAGGGTCGTTTCATTATGGGACAATTAATGTAACGAGGACATTGGTGCTAGCCAATTCGAAAGAAATTATAAATGGGACAACACGCTATGCCATAAATAAGGTTTCTTACGTCAATCCAGCCACACCTTTGAAGCTTGCTGACTGGCTAAACATCTCCGGAGTCTTCACATTGACGGCGATCAAAGACCGCCCTCCGGCCAACCGCGCCGCCGCCGTTCATGGTGTCGGCGTCTTCGGTCTTCAACTTCACGACTTTGCGGAAATTGTTTTCCAAAATAACGAGGACACACTCCAATCATATCATCTTGATGGCCAAGATTTTTGGACCGTCGGGTATATATATATATCCCTTCTCCATTTTCTTCATTCAATTTATAATTATATACTCCGTAATTAGTTTCATTATTATGTTGTTTTTCTATCAATTAATTAAGGTATGACCTTGGTGTGTGGACGAAGGCATCAAGAAATAATTACAATCTTGTTGATGCCACAACTAGATACACAGTACAGGTAATACTATACATTTGTAGCAAGTGATGAGATTAAATTATGTTACGTATACTTTTTTTTTCTGTATCGGCCATTTAATTTTCTATACGTACTAATTAAGATGTATACACGTGTTTTGGATGAGAATCTTGTTTGACAAGTGTACGATTTTAATAAATTAACTATAATAATTTGATTAATCATCAAATTATTATCATGCTCTTAAATCTCATTTGTTAGCTTATCATAAAAAAATCTTATTTGTTCACCCAAGTAAATTTATCATACTACGTATTTAGCTTGGTCGTGTTTTTTTAGCAATTTATTTGAAATTCATGATTAAATTAAGAAGTATTTATCTAAGTAGGACTAAATCAGTCTTTAATTTCCAAAATAAGACCAAAGTTTAAAAATTCCCTAAATAAGAGTTATTATTTGCAATTAGACAAAAGTAACCCCAAGCTTGGAGACCCTACATCAAAGTATCGAGAGAGTGGACACATTTACTATAATTAGGAATAAAACATACTACATCCGTTCTTAAATAAATGCAACACTTTGACTTTTACACTATTCACATGTTCTACTTTGACTACGTTTTATTTATTAATGTAATAATATTATTTTATGAAAAACAATTGTTAAACTCGTCTCATTGTAAATTTTCATAATCTAATTATTTTAATTTTTTTAATTATACAAAATCATTTATATTAATGGTCAAAGTTGTGTCTCGGCAAATGTGAAATGTTGACCGTTGCATTTATTTGAGAACGAGGAAGTACATAGAATTAGTTGTGTAGTTGCGTTTTCTTTCTCCAAGAGTTATTTAGTCATATTCAAAGAATGAAAAGATCAGAAACACAAATTTGAATCCATGAGTCATATTTTGAGAAAATATAATGATATATTAGAGAAAATTTACTATATTTTATTCATATTTCTTAACATGAAATCAGAGCCAATTTCGGTTGTGGTTTGACGGCTTGTTTAGCACCCATGATTAAGGGTAGCTTGTTAAGGGTTTGTTTGGCCCGTTTATACACCCCGATATTGTTCAGCCCGGTTCGGGCTGAGGGGGCGTGTTGAAGCATTTGTCCCACACCGGAAAGCTATAAAACAATTAAACACTATATAAGACTTTGGGCTACTCCTCCTATAAGGTTGACCTTTTAGGATGGAACCCAGGTCTTAACAATATTAGATATTTTTCTCACGTCAGCATGTATATTTCGATCCATTCCAGGCTTTCACTCCGATCAAGCTCACATTTAGCTTTGCACAACGAAAAAAAGAATTATGCAGCAGTTATATACTACGTATATTAATTAGAAATTAAATAATGACACAATGAAAATTAGAAGTAGTCGTAATAAATGAGATGTGAATTTTATAACAAAACCATCAATGAGAAATTTCTCTAAAACGTGTATAAAGTTCATGAACAAAACTATCAATGTTTTATTTCTAAAATATGATTCATTCACTTCTTTTGAGAAATTTAAATCAAATTATTATTTTAATAGGACTAAATCAGTTCTATTTGGGAATAAAACATCTCTAAACCTATTTGAATTTTATATGTTTTGATCCTCTCTCTTGCTTGATCAATTTCTACCGATCAAAATGGCATTTTATCAGTGACTAGTAAGCATGATTATTATTCATTTGGTATGAAATAGATTATGCAATAAATTTTTTTATTATAATACTTTTAATGAAATTATTTGAAAGGTCCTATAGAATAAATCCACAATTAGGCTAATAAAATGGATGGATGAGTGGATAGATAGACACTTTAATGACTTTAAATTTACAACTGGCAGTATAATTAAAGAAGATGAAGCATGTAATATACTAATATATAATTTTATATTGCATATCCCAAAATAATATGTTTATGATACAACTTCATATGTTTGGATACAACTTCATAAGTTTATTATTTTGTGAACTTGAATGCCCATCCCAAAATCTTTTGGGAATAAGGGGTCAATGTTGTTGAATGGCAACTTTTATTTCTGCAGTACTATACGGATGAATTACTTTGTACTCTTGATTAATATGAACGTATCTTGTGCAAACAAAAATATAATTTTATATTGCAGGTGTACCCAAAATCATGGACAGCCATTTGGGTGTCTTTAGACAACAAGGGAATGTGGAATTTAAGGTCAGCAGTTTGGTCAAGGAATTATCTAGGGCAACAAGTGTACCTTAGAGTGTGGAACAATGAGCACAGCCTATTTACTGAATTTGATATGCCACCAAATACTTTATTCTGTGGCTTGGCTAAGGCTAGCTAGCTATAGTTTAAAGGAATGTAATGTTACTCATAGATCTTCCTATCATATTTAATTTGAAAATTGGATGATGATATGTGTGTGTGGCGAAAGTGTTGCGGAATAATGGACACAATGAATAAAAACTAGATTCTCACCCGTGCGATGCACGGAACATAAATTAAATAACAATTATATTTTATGATTTGTTAATATTATTAGTTAATTTATTATCAAAAGTTACTAATATATTTAATTAGTAAAATGTATCCAAAAAGTATAGATTTAATATATAATAAAAAGTTATAATTAAAGAAAAGATATTTAGAAATCAGAATCGATGAAAATTATGTTTTAAAATAAGAAGAAAAAAATATTACAATGAGATTGTAGTAGCGCCTACACATTTTCAAACACTTATTTGTAAACATTGGTAATTTGATCGATTTGTAACTTGAGTTTGCAATTTGATGGTGATCCATCATTGTTGATAGATTTATCTACTCTTTCTTCTATTGACGTTAACAAAAACATGCTATGTTTTGAGTGAATATTATCCTGAAAATATTTAAGGGCTGGATTTATATTGTCGTAATTCCAATTTATGGTGTGAGTGAATATTATCCTGAAAATAAGTCAGGATTGTTATTTCACTAGGGGAGTCAAATATACTTTTTTACATTGGTTCAGCCTAACAATGCATACAGTACATGTTTTTGCAGCATAAAGTTCCATTACTATCTCTAGAAGCATTACACCATCTCCACATGTTTAACTAGGCATCTGCTAGTTAATTGTTACATTTTTCATTAAAGCATAAAACTAGTTAATTGTTACTTTTTTCATTAAAGCATAAAACTAGTTAATTTTTACATTTTTCATTAAAGTATAAAAGTAGTTAATTGTAACATTTTTCATTAAAGCATAAAACTAGTTAATTGTTACTTTTTTCATTAAAGCATAAAACTAGTTAATTGTTACTTTTTTCATTAAAGCATAAAACTAGTTAATTGTTACATTTTTCATTAAAGTATAAAAGTAGTTAATTGTTACATTTTTCATTAAAGTATAAAACTAGTTAATAGTTACATTTTTCATTTCCCTATTATTTAATTTGTTAATTGTTGCATTCATCATAAAAGTAAAAAACTAGTTAATTATTAATTGTTGCATTAAAGTATAAAAGTAGTTAATTGTTACATTTTTCATTTCCCTATTATTTAATTTGTTAATTGTTGCATTTTTCATAAAAGTAAAAAAACTAGTTATTTGTTAATTGTTGCATTAAAGTTTAAAACTACTTAATTTTATTAGCAAGTGGATTTTTGGAAATTTGCTATAATTTTATTAGTCGCATTTTATTATTTCTATTGTACTCATATTAAAACATTTGATATCATATAATATTTGTTACATTTTAAAGATGGACCGTGGCAGACATTCCGTAAATATGGGTAATCTCCAACGCAACCGAAGGAAGGAGATTGCGACAAGTCATCCTAGTTTACGCGAAGGCAAAGGTAAAGGGCGGGCCGGGTCTTCTTCTCAAAGTCGAGAAGATTTTGATGACGGATACCAAAGGCGAGATGAGGATGTGATGTCCGACGAGCAACTACAACAACTATTGGCGCAAAATGATGGTCGCTTTTTTCAACAACAAAACATCTCGGAGTCCATTGATGAAGTGGAGCTCGAGGATGACAATGTGGAGGAGGACGAGGGGGGCGACGGGACTCACGGCACCCCGGATGATGAGCAAGAGTTGGAGGACGAGGGCGGTCCATCCCAAGTTGGTAAGAAATCTAAATCTCCTATTATAGAAAATAATTTTACAAAGAGGAAAGACCCAACAACCGATAAATGGTACGCAAGTTGCGATCATTGCAAGGAGTATAGCTTGGAACTTCCGGCAAATATGGGAGCCTCAAAAGGCATCTTAAGTCCGCGCACTCTGTGGAGTATGTGAAAATAGACAAAGGCAAGGGGAAGCAAACTCAAATATCGAGGTTTGCAAATGACCAACCTTTTGGCAATTTCTCATACACTGATGCACAAAATTTGACTGGTATGGCTAACTTACTTGTTGAAAAAAATTTGCCTTATTTGTTTTCTGAAAGTCTTGCTTTTAAAGATTATACACAAACTAGTTTAAATCCTCAATTTAGAAGTTATTGTAGCAAAACGGTTAAGAAAGAAATTATAAGGCTTTATCGTGCGGAAAAGGATAGGTTACAAAAAAAATTGCAAACTTTAATGGCCGTGTAACTATTTGTTCTGACATTTGGGAGGATACTAATCATAATTTACATTATTTGGGCCTAACTGCACATTTTATTGATAATGATTGGAATTTGCATAAACGTGTTCTTGCTTTTCGTGAATTTAGTGATCGTCACACCGCAGAGCATATTTATATTTTGATTGAACGTATTTTAACTGAGTATAATTTGATTGATAAAGTGTTTGCTATAGGTTTTGATAATGCTACTAATAATACTGTTACTATACGTAGATTGCGTGAATTGTGTGGTTCTAATACTTTGATGAATAGATTTTTTCATCAACGATGTGCATGCCATATTATAAATTTATGTGTGCAAGACGGTTTAACAGCATTAGAAGATGCTATGAAGGTAGTCAAGGGGGGGATTAGACGTATTTGGGACAATGGTCAACTTAATTAAAATGACAAAATTATTTAATTGAAAGAGGTGTGAAATATGTTGCTTTTCCTAAAGATTTGTCTATTCGGTGGAATAGTACTTATAAATTAATTAAAGTTCTTCTTAGATATAAAGAACATTTTCCTGCTTTTTTAAGACAATATGATAACTATATTTTAAACTCCGCTCACATCGACCCGGCAGGTGACCCGGCCCAAACCAGCACCGGGCGAATGACGGGCCAATTTCGGGCCCCCCATTCCAGGACCGGAGGCCTGACCAAGCCTAGGCCCGGCCCGGGCCCAAACAAGCCCGAGGACAAGTCTAATTATAATCCATGCAAAAGTTTTATTAAGTTTTTTTCGTAAGTCTTATTAAGTTAAAATGTTAAACGTCCGTTTTCTATTTGAATATTGCCACAAGTCCATTTATAATAGCAAGTTATATTACGTACTTAAGAATGACGATATAATTAAAAGTGGAAAAATTATTATTTATTATTAGGCCACTATTATGAGTTTTTTACATGAATATTATCAAAAATATTTGGGGTTACAAAAATATGACTATTAATGAGGAACTCATACGGCACCATGGGAGTAAAAATAGGGTAAATAGTCATATTTTTGTTAGTGGGGTTTAAAGTAGTTATATTTATGTAATTTCCACTATTATCATGATCCATTTTATTATAACAATTCTGATTATCATCATTACTGTTAAGGAAAATGATTAAATAAACTATTCAGTCTATTCTACCATTTCCAAATTCCAATCTATTGTTTCAACACCTATAGTCCTATACTAAAATATGTTGATTCAAATTAATGTTATAGTGAAAAAATTTTCATTTTCAGAATAATTTATTTATAGCCACTTAAATAAGTAATATATATTATATTAAAAAAACTAGTTTTGATCATAAAAAACTAGTAAATGTAGAATGACAAAGTTCAAAGTAGGGGTGGACCCGGGCCGGTTCGGGCCTGGGCCCGGCCGGGCCTCGGGCCAGAAAACTGGGGCCCGAACCGCCGGTGGCCGGTTCCGGTTCCGGGCCAAACCGGGCCGGGCTGGGCCGGGCCAAACCGGCCCTTTTTTCTTTGTTCTCTTATTTAACTCCCTACCCCTCCCCCTCCATCCCAAACTACCTCAAATGGCCTAAAATACCTAATCCAACCCAAAACTTAAAAAAATTTCAAAAAAAAAAAAAATTAAAATCCGGCCCGGACCGGCCCGAACCGGCCGGGCCGGTTCACCTAAAGCAGGGCCCGAGCCCGGACCGCTCATCACCCGGGCCGGGCCAAACCGAACCGATGGACCCACCGGGCCCCGGGCCGGTTCCGGGTCGGGCCGCCCGGCCCGAGTCCACCCCTAGTTCAAAGTTTAACAGAAACTAAAATGTCCAAGTAATAACAATATAAGAGTAGTCATGTTAAGAAAACACATTGTGCACAAACCATCTCCCATTCTATCCAACAAGCTAACTGGAGTGGCTTGGGAACCAGAAAAAATGAGGTTCTCGTTTGCGGATAGAAGTGTCGAAGAAGAATATTCTTTCTTTGAGCAGAAAGGACAAAAGCTAAGAAGCTAAGAAGAAGAAGAAGAAGAAGAAGAAAGTTAGTGAACATAAAAAAAATTAGTAGATGAAGTACAAAATCAACTTAGGTATGGAAGTGACAACCTCTAATTTGATCATAAAAGTGTGGTAGGGATACAATCAAGTCCTGTGGCGTAGGATATGTGCTCCATCTACAACTCTCGTACAAAAATGTTTTTGTCATGTATAATCAAAACATTCCTTTAAAAGCTCAAATCTGCCAATCACATGACAGTGTTGTTTGCTTATAATTGAAGCCCGTTAACTGTAAATTTTTCACATGAAAATATTACAAATTAAATAATATGAAGCATAGAGAAAAATTAAGTGATAAATAAATGTCCATTTGCAATAATCAACTTACCGATTCAAACTTGGGATTAGCCGGATAAGGATGACCGGTGTTCAAATCATAAACCACATTATCACCACCGGCTTTCATTATTGTACAATATGCGTTAAACATCTCATTCGCATTCTTCAATGTTACGTATATCTAGGAAGTAATTTTTATAATTAAAAATATAATTATGTTGTATTGCACTACATGGTAAAAATAAACTTATAAAAGTAGTAAATACTAATTATATTAGTATTAGTAGTTAAAAGTTACTAACCTGAGCAAAGGTTAAATAAGACCTGGTGTGTTTAGCAAAAGATGTGAAGTTAGCAATACTTTCACAAGCATCCCTCTCATAATTGGGTTCTTTGTATGTTCTCTTCAATGATGTTTGCAATGTATACCAGCGAGCCGCTTCCAAAATTATCTTTGCTTTAGTCGAATGCAATGGAAAGCCATGATCCACCTAGCAAAATCGCTAACATTGAAATACTGAAAAAATGATATTACTTGTATGCAACCATTTAAAAATATACTTACATTTAAATTAAGAAAGTCGACGTGAGATGGTGTTGGTACTTGGTTCACAAGTTTGCTTTTTTTTGCCACTTGGGTAAGAGATATTTCCATATTTGTCGACTCTTTAATCTTCTTTAGAATCCACATGAATAAAATGAAATCCAAGCAAAAAATAATTAGTGACTTTCAAAAAGAAGAAGTATTATAAAAATTAATGAAAAGGACAAGTCAAGTACTAAACTCAAATCATGGAAAAAGGCCAACACATTTAGGAGCAGGTCTGACCCAATGCATCCTACCTATTCATATCACAGTGTATGCGATTAAGGACAATTACTTATCACAATTCACAATGGTTCTATCCTTGGTCCTTAAAAAGCACAATTCGATGTATATGTCTTTGTTCGTATCACGTAATTGATTTAAAAGTCTTATGCCACGTATTGCAAACTACACAAATAGTAGTTATAATAGAGTTTAATTTAAAGATGACACTATTGATTAAACTTTAAAGCCTTAAATTCGAACTTTGTAATTGTGATTTTATTCATCTGGAGTGATAGGAACCCATTAGTATAACAATAACTAATAATAATAGAAGTATGTTAAATAATTGTGATAATGTAGCAAAGAGTTCTGGGCTAGGTATTAGTTAGTATTGGAGACAAGTATATAATATGTGATCTCACATATTATATTATATACTCATGAAGACAAGTATATAATATGTGATCTCACATATTATATTATATACTAACTAATACCTAGCCCAGAACCATTTGCTACATTATCACAATTATTTAACATACTTCTATTATTATTAGTTATTGTTATACTAATGGGTTCCTATCACTCCAGATACACAAAATCACAATTACAAAGTTCGAATTTAAGGCTTTAAAGTTTAATTAATAGTGTCATCTTTAAATTAAACTCTATTATAACTACTATTTGTGTAGTTGGCAATACGTGGCATAAGACTTTTAAATCAATTACGTGATACGAACAAAGACATATACATCGAATTGTGCTTTTTAAGGACCAAGGATAGAACCATTGTGAATTGTGATAAGTAATTGTCCTTAATCGCATGCACTGTGATATGAATAGGTAGGATGCATTGGGTCAGACCTGCTCCTAAATGTGTTGGCCTTTTTCCATGATTTGAGTGTAGTACTTGACTTGTCCTTTTCATTAATTTTTATAATACTTCTTCTTTTTGAAAGTCACTAATTATTTTTTTGCTTGGATCTCATTTTATTCATCTGGAGTGACAGGAACCCATTAGTATAACAATAACTAATAATAATAGAAGTATGTTAAATAATTGTGATAATGTAGCAAAGAGTTCTGGGCTAGGTATTAGTTAGTATTGGAGACAAGTATATAATATGTGATCTCACATATTATATTATATACTCATTGTTGAGGTTTATTCCTTCAACCTTCAGGCCCAACACGTAAGCCCAAAGATTTCGAGTGGAGTGCGTGTGAGTAACTAGCCCAACAAGCGGATGATAAGGGTCAAGAAACAATAAGGTAGCAAGTAAATGATTAGGTATTATTATCTCTTAATAACTCCCTAATGCAATACTTTTAGCTAAGGCTCCGTCGGCCGTTCGTCTTACAAGGCAGTAGAAGTGCTGCGAGTAAGAATGCTATAGCTAGGGTGCTAAGAATAGAAAGTTGCCAACCCTTTACAATGAAATAAATGCTTCTATTTATACCCGCCAATGGGCAGGTGGCTATGCTGACGTGGAGGCCTGTGGACCGCTTGTGTCCCAACCACCAAATCTTCTGCATTAAATGCACTTCCCGCCAGAATCTAGGTTTCCCGCCTAAATAATGGGGACGTCCGTCCGCCCGGGAGTGAGCGGGGTCACTCCAAGTGACCTCCAAGAAACTTCAGCTGTTCGTCCCCCCGACCTTGTGGATTCTCTCCATGTGGACTGGATCTCCTCCGACGATCATGGGCCTGCCCAGGAGACGTCCGTCGTTATCCTTGATGGCCAGTGGTCCTGCCCCTTACCTCTGCACAGACGTTCGTCGCGATGGGCCGTTTGAATCTGGACCCCCCAATTCCAGACGTTCGTCTCTTCCCAAGGGTCATGGGCCTGCGCCCAGCCTGGTCCTAGCATGACGTGCGTCCGATAGAAAGAAGGGGTTAATGGGCCGGACCTCGGCCTGGGCCATTATCCCAACACAAGTCCCCCACTTCTGATGTTCTGAGCATGCGCAGGACATAAGGAAGTATAGGTGCCCCGAAATGGACGTTCGTGTCTTGATACTTGTGTTTGTTGCATCTGGCGGAAGCGTACGCTCGTGGTCAAGGTGCTTAACAGCTGTCGACGGTTCGGGAAACGAGGTGACGGCTGCTGTAGCGGAGGTGCACTTTCCGAGGAAATGCCATCATTACGCTTTCGTCTCACGCATAGCGCGTGAGCCGGAATACGCTCCTTGCCACGTGTCCGTCCCTCGTTGGTCCCCCCATCGGTGTCTCTCCTATAAATGCCGGGTTCCCCCTCTAAATTAGGGTTCCCAATTTCTGCTCTCCTGCTCTCGCGTTCCCGCAGCTCTTCAAGTCTTCTCCCGCTTTCAAGCTCGGCTAACCCCTTTCTAAGGTAATTTCCATCCTCTGCTTCTTTTCTTTGTCTTGAATTCTCGCCGAGATGGTTTCGATGGAGATCTCGTCGAGTTCTGGTTCGGGTTCGTCGGGTTCCTCCTCGGCTCTTCCTCCGACTCCGGTTCACGCTCTTCGGGTAAAACTAGCACCTCCGGGAGTTCTGGCTCAGCTCCTACCGTGGGAACCGTTCAGGCCGGGGAGGCCCAAAATGTGGTTACTGTGACGGTCTCTGGTGAAGAAGGTGCTGATTTGGGGGAACAAGGGGATATGGCCCTTGATGTAGTGGACCCCGTGGCTGATGTCGAAGAACAGGAGTCTGCTGGTGAGGACGAGCGTCCAGACGGGTATGACTCTGGGGTTGAGGCTCAGGACGGCTCCGACATCGAAGTATTCGAGCTTGGGCTGAAGATAGATGTGGAGAGGCATCTGTGCCCGATTAAGAACGTCCTGTGCCATGAGCAGATCTTCTCGCAGGTGGCCCTCAACAAATTGAAGGTGTTCTTCCCCCCTCCGTCCGTATACAGCCTGCGTGGTGCAACCCACGTGATGAGGAGACGTCCAGGGATGGTTATGGTGCTTTTGGACTCCATCGAGGCTGGGCTGCGCTTCCCTCTTCATCCGTTCTTCGTGGAATTCTTTTGCTGTTACCAGATAGCCCCCGCACAACTCATGCCGAACTCCTATCGGTTCGTCTCCGCCTTCCTAGTCCGCTGCAAGGACAATGGGGTCACCGCCACTTTGGACTTGTTCCATTACTTCTATCGGCTCACCCCCCAAAATTCTGACGGTTTCCTGAGCATTGCAGCTCGTCCGAAACGGAGGCTGTTCAGCGGAGCACCGAGTTCCATCCATGACTGGAAGAATCGGTTCTTCTTCGTGCGGTACGCGGATGCTCGTCTGCCATTGCGTTGGAATGGCTATCCGCCCAAGATAGGATCTCCGGAGCTGACCAACGACCTGGAGGAGGACATTAGAAAGATCTCGACGGGCGGCATCCGGCCCTTAGATGATTTCTTAGCCTTCGAGGCGCTCGCCGCGGCAGGAATAGGTACCCGCCCATGCTCTTGGACATCTCCCCTTCTACGCTCGTCTCGGGGTATTGGGCGGTCCTCTCCTCCGAGGTGAGTTCTTCCTGACGCTCGTCCATCTAACCCATTTCCCTTGTTTCTTTCAGGTCTTCCCCCAACCCAGGAGCAGATGAATCACGAGAAGCTCCTCAAGAATCGGAAGGGGAAGGGTGCCGCGGCCGATGATGCCCTTGCCAAGGCCAAAGCCGCCCAAGCAGCAGACTCTAATTCTTCCGCCTCCCAGGCCGATCGTCGCACGGTGGAGGCGGAACAGCATCTCATTGCCACGGTGATGGCACAGGGGTCCCAGGCCCCCGTCCTCAATCCTGTCGTTCCCGAGGTCGTGGCGCCCCTGCAGGCCGTTCATCCGCAAGACGGGGAGAAGGCGCAGGACAAGAAGTCCAAGAGGCCTCGGGGGGCTTCCTCTTCGGCCCCCGAAGAGCAAGGGCTGATCCTCCCTTCCCTTGGGCGTCCGGCCCATGACGTCTGGCAGGAAATTGCTTCTCTGGTCGGCGTGGAAATGCCTCCCCGGACGTCTTCGGAGGCCTCCAACGCGGTTTTGGCCGCCGCTCTTCAGGTGAGATTTGCCCCTGAACGAACGGTGGATTTCTATATTCCGTTGATTTGAAGTCTCATCCTCTGTATCTCTTTTGTAGGTTGGGCTCTCTACCCTGCAGGCTGAGGCTGCCCGGGATGCCGATGCCCTCCGGGCCAAAAATAAGGCAGATGCGGCCTTGAAGAAGGCGAGAGAGGCCGCTCGTCTCCAGGAGAAAGAGCTGGCGGCCAAGGACAAAGAACTGCAGGCCGCCCTGAGGGTAGCCCGCGAGTCCACCGCGAAGCTCGCGGTTCTGGAGAAGGCCGGGTTCAAGCTCGTCCCAGCTCTCCCTGCCCCCAAAGACGAGGCCCCTGAATGGCTCGTCGACGATTCTGGGTACCACAACTCCGGGGCCTTCATGGTTGCCGCCCAGAAGTACCTTGGGGGCGCCTTTGGTGATGTATTCGCCGCCGAGCTGCAGAAGCAGGCGCCAAAGGACCGCCTCAAATTCGGGGTCCGAATCCTGGAGAGTGCGCCCCTGGCCGAGAAGTTTTTATATGATGTCGGGGATAGCTCCTTCGTCATCGGCTACAACGAGGGGGTAAAGGCCACGTTGCCGGTCTTCGCCGCTCTTCAGGGGCCCAATTTTGATCTGGCCGAGCATGCCTCAGATCCGGAGCTGATCCGAGTGGTGGGCAAGTTGAAAAGGGACGCCCGGCGGGAGGAGGCCAGAGCCAGAGGGGAGGTCCCGGAGCCCCCGTCCCCCGAGCCCGAGCCCGAGGAGGAAGAAGAGACCATCCCTGGGGGGTCCCGGCCTGTTTCTCCAAATTTTGTGTAATGTAGCTCGTAGTTTCCTTGTTTTGATCCTGTACTTATCCGGCCAGTAGAGCCGAAGAATATACAACTCTTTTTGCCCCATCATTATCTCTACGTTCATGAACTCTTTATTTCCTTCCTTCGTTGGTTGTTTTTTGTTTTTCTTGGGGACGTTCATGTCCACAACTCGCCAATGCATCCTGATCTTTCGAGATACGAACGTGTGCCTGAGAGTACCACACATGTGTACCATCCCCAATGCCGTTCGTCGGAAGGAAGATGTGCGGGGATGCGACCGTATTCCTTCGAACCAGTTAGTGAAGACGCCCGTCCCTTGGCTACTGGCATAACCATCCGTGGGGTCGTTCACGTCCACACTTCGTTCCTGTTTCTCGATCTATCGGGATATGAACGTATGCTCGGGAGCACCCATCTGTAAACCACTCCCCAAGACGTACGGGTTGCTGCCGTAATCTCCTGGACCAAAGTTGGCGAAGACGCTCATCCCGTGGCCGTTCGTCTATTTGACCAGGCGTGGAGATACGAATGCGCTTCTCCGAACCATGCCTTGATGGAGGAGTTCGCCGTTTCCGGAATAGCGTAACCTCTTACGCCTGCGCTTAAGCCAGGTATCCGTCTCGGATGTGCGTCTGATGTGAACATGGGATTTACGAGCACGTACGCACGTCTTCCTGTGAATTTGGCCTGTAGGTACGCTCTCTGTTTGCCCCTTCGGGGGACGTCCGTGGCATCAAACCAGATTCCTTCGCAGTGACTGTGAGGTGATAACATCGAGGAGCCTTTAATACCGCGGTAAGTACCGGTATCCGGATGCCACGTGCTCCACCGTGATTGGCGCAACCTCGCGGCGCTGCCTATAATTACCCAAGGCCTTGCGAGTTCTCCATTTGCTTCATCCCTAGCTCTTGTGCTGCACAATCACTTCCTCTCTCTAGCTTCCTTTGGTGCCGCTTCCAGCTCCAGCACCCGTAGGTACCGAACGTCGTCATGTCTTTGTCCATATCAGGGTCCCAAACTATTGATAGGTTCGGCGATGGGTGCTCCTCTGGTGATGATCTAGAGTTCTATGAGCGGGGTATGCCACCATGGCCCCCCCGTCATCACCTGAATTTTTCCGGCGTTCGTCGTCAGCGCCAGCGTCTCCTGAACGCCGACCGTCGGTTGATAAGCCAATGGTTTCTTCCCCCAAGGGGTTACGACGATCGGATCCTGCGCAACCCAATGCGCCATCTGCCCGGCTATGTAGTGGTCCACTTGGACTCTGTCATAGCCGGTCTCCTATTTCCCCTCCATATCTTCCACATAGAGCTTTTCAGGGGCCTCCGGGTGACACCTGCTCAGTTCGTCCCCGCTGCTTATAGGATCATCGCGGGTTTTATAATTAGATGTCACAGCGTTGACGTGACCCCCACCGTGGACCTGCTGCAACACTTCTTCCGGTTATCTCCCTTCGGACGTACGGGGTATTTAACCCTGATCGCGCGTCCGTCCATGGTCCTGTTTTCGAACAACGCCGGGAATCCGGACGGCTGGGAGGAGCGGTTCTTCCTTGCCGAAGTGGGCTCCCCGATGCCATTCTCCGATAGGTGGAACGCCTACCCGGTGAAGTCCATCCCGCCGCCCATGACGGATGAGGAGCTTGGCTATGCCAAGCGCATAGCTGGTCTTGGCGTTCAGAACCTCCGGTCGCTGGTGGCCGAGCCTTTTAAGGCCCGGGCCGGATTAGGTGCGTCTATTTGTACTTGCGTTGTCCTGTCATCTTCTAGTTGTTATGGTTCTGAACGTCTTGATTTTCTTCCTGCAGGAGTTTTCCCAACTATATCATCCATGGGGCGCACTCATATTACTTCGCATGCCCATGGCCGCGACAACAGGCATGAGGATAAGGGCAGGAAGCCGCTCGTCCCCAAAATCGAGCCTCGGGCGAGCAGGAGGCGGTCAGACGACGCACCAGAGGCCGGGGCTTCGAAGAGGCTCCGCATCGACGGTACCGCCTCCAAAGCCATCATAGTGGCTGATGACTCCGACGGTGAGCCGGGAAGTCCCTTGAAGCGGAGGCCCTCCTCCCGGAACAAGCCCCCTGTTTCCCTTCCGGCCAATTCTGAGGTCCGTCGACTTAGGGATGAAGATGTCCATGCTACCAAGGGCTCTGACGATGCTCGTCCCCCTTCGCCCCCAGAAACCAACGGGTCCTCCCTTGGCCTTATCGAATTCTCGGGGGTTGGCCCTCGTAAGGAGTCGATGATGCTCTTTGGCCAGACCGCATCTTCGATCTGGTGCGGCCTCAACCTCAAGGTCCCCCAAGATTTCGCCGCCCAGGAAGCTCCTGAGGATCTCCTGGAGTGTGGGCAGAGCACCCTTGACAAGGCCGGGTTATATTTCCACCGGGCTCGGATGGCCTTCGAGCATCAAGGCAAGGAAATGGCCCGGGTGCGGGCTGAATGCGACGCCCTTTTGAAGAACGCCAAAGGCAGGGCCGGAACGCTTCAAGAAAAGGCTGACGCCTATGATAAGCTCGTCCAGGAGAGCATTTCCCAAAAAGAACTCCTTCGGAAGCAGGAGGCCGAGCTTGTGGACCTTCGCAGCCGGCTGTGGGCTGTGGAACAGGCTAAGGTGGGGATCCGCCGTACGGGTGTGGATAACCACGTCCCCATCTACGAGGCCGATGTTTCGAAGATCAAGGAGTCTGGTTCCATCGAGTTCCAGAAATCCAAAGCCTATACCGGTGCGATCCAGACCATGGCCAGGAAGTTCCTTCCGAGGTTCGTCGGCGAGTTCTTGGCCACTTGCCCGGACCCTTACTTAGACGGCATCAAGTTGCTCCAGGCCACCCCCACTGGGGAGCGCTTCCTCGATGATCTTGCCGACGATACTTATCTTAAGGGTATGGTCGGCCTTGTGGCAGAGAATCTCCCGGCTTTTGAGCGTCACTTTGGAGCCCCCTTTGATCCTGCGGCCACTGGGTTTGATTCCTTGATGGTAGACGCCCATAGGGGGGCCCTAGAGCTGTTGAGGGAACGTGAGGAGCGTGGAGAGGCTGAGGCCAGAGAAAAAGCCAAGTAGGTCCCCTTTACGGCCCCAACTCCGGATGCTGACCAAAATTGATTCTCCGCTCATAGTTTTGCACTTGTACTCATTTTTCCATTATATACATTGTACCTGTTATATTGTACTTTCCGGTCATCAGTACCGAAGAATAAAAATCATTATTTGCTCCATGTCTCTATCTCTCTCTCTTCTCTTTTTTTTTTTTTTTTTTTTTTTTTGGAGTCTTTTTATCAGTCTTTGCCTTTCTCTAGCTTCGTGGGTACTTGTCTCCTGGTTTCGTAGGAGACGTTCGCCATCCCGGCCTTGAGAAAAAACAGGTTTATCCACGTCGGGATTCCCTATCTCCGTTCGTCCCCAGCCGCGAACTACTAGTCTTCTGGCTTCGCAGAAGGCTTTCGTCATGCGCTCATCGGGGGGAGGAACTAAGCTTCGTTCGTCCTTGTCGTGGTCCTACTAATCTTCTTACTTCGAAGAAGACGTTCGGTCATCCAACGATCGCAAGGAGGTCACTGGTTTATCCACGTCGGGATTCCCTGCTTCGTCGCCCCATACCCGTGGCCCTACTAACCTTCTGCTTCGGCAGAAGGTGTTCATCGAATCCACGGGTCATGGGAGGAACTGGTTTATCCTGCCGAGGTTCCCTTTGGTACGTCCAGCCTCCCCCACGTTCCTACTAACCTCCGCGTCGGGAGACGTTCGTCACGCGGTGAAGGAAGATCAGGCATACCCCGTCAAGACTCCCTCTCTCCTAGGAGCTTCTCTCTCCCCTTCTCCTCTTTTTTTTTTTTTTTCTTTCTTTTTTTTTTTTTTTTTTTTTGAGGAGGAAATCGTTTCAACAGCACTTCGGCTTTTAATCTCTCTGTAGGGAAGTGAAGAACAGAAATAATCCCTTTAATATAGAGACGACGATTGGTGGTGTTACATGGTACTTCGACCAAAATATTACAACGATCTATCTCTAATTATTGGTAGAACTTCTTCAAGTGTTCGACATTCCACATCCCAGCGTGGTTCCCCTCTAATGTGTGGAGAAGGAACGTCCCCTGGTTGTATCTTCTCATGACCATGTATGGCCCCTCCCAGTTTTTGGCCATCTTGCCTCCTTCGAGCGGCCTGCTCTTCTCCCTTTTTCTGAGTACGAGGTCCCCCGCTTCAATTTCGCGGATCTTCACCGCCTTGTTGAAGTATCTTTGGGTGGCTCGGTGATATTCCTCCATGCGACGAGCTGCTAGGTCTCTCCGTTCCTCAATGAAATGGAGCTCCGCTCGTAGGTTTGCCTCGTTGTCCTCCGGCTGGAAGTGTTTCGTGCGATGTGTGGGCACTAGCACCTCCGTTGGTACCTTGGCCTGGAATCCGTATGCCAACGCAAAAGGTGTCTCGCCGGTTGCCGTCCTTGGGGTTGTTCTGTACGTCCAGAGTACGTAATTGAGCTGCTCCGGCCAGGTGGACGCGTAATCTTCCAATTTCTTTTTAATCCCATCCATGATGGTCCGGTTCATGTTCTCCACCTGGCCGTTGGCCTGCGGGTAGGCCACCGAGGCCTTGGAGTGCCTGATGCCCCACTTTGCCAGGTATGCCTCAAATCCTCTACCGACGAACTGTCGGCCATTGTCGGTGATGACCTGTTCTGGAATCCCGAAGCGGCATATAACATTCTGCCAGAGGAACCTCTGACATTGATATTCGGTGATGGAGGCCAGCGGCTCGGCCTCTACCCACTTTGTAAAGTAGTCAATTGCCACAATGACAAACTTCCTTCCGCCGGTCGTCGTCGGGAGAGGGCCCAGTAGATCTATGCCCCACCTGGCGAAGGGTAGTGCAACCGTCATCGGAGTGTAGAAGCTTGCCGGCCGCCCGGGGACGGGAGCATATTGCTGACATACTGCACACCTCCGAGTGTGGTTGAAGCAGTCCTGCTGGATGGTCGGCCAGTAATACCCTTGCAAGATGATCTTCCGAGCCAAAGTACGAGGGCCTTGGTGACTGGAACAGATGCCTTCGTGTATCTCCTCAATGACGGCCGCTGCCAAGCTCGGTGGGAGGCACCTCAAGTATGGTCCGCCGAACGTCTTCTTGTAGAGCTGTCCATTTATGAGCTCGAAGTTGGGGGCCCTCCTCTTTATCCATGCTGCCCGTCCGGAGCTGCCATCATCCTCAGGCTCGGGGAGTGTCCCATCCCTGAGATAGTCTGCGATCTCCTTCGACCAATTAGGTTCGGCGATGGAGACGGCCTCTACTCGGATGACGTCCGTTGCCGGGGCCGAGAGTGTCTCTTGTCTGACGAAGCCCCTAATGTGCCGGGGGATGTTCGTCATCGGGTCATCGGTCGGGGGATTACCTAGCTTGGATAGTATATCAGCCTCGGCGTTCTCCACCCGCGATACCTGCTCGATCATCACCTGTTCGAACTGCGCGGTTTGTTCCTCCGCGAGCTCCTTGTAGGTCTTCATCCTCTCTTCCCTGGTCTCGGTCGTCCCATTCATCTGGGTTACTACCAGTTGACTGTCCATTCTCACCTTGAGACGAGCTGCGCCGAGTGCCCTTGCACATTTCAGTCCCGCAATCAGCGCCTCGTACTCAGCCTCGTTATTGGTGACCTTGAATTCAAATTTCATGGAGTAGTAGGCCTTGAAACCCTCAGGTGAGGTGATCACTGCTCCTCCGCCACAACCTTTTGCACTCGAGGCCCCATCGGTGTACATTTCCCACCAGTTGTTGAAATCATTGTCGCCTTGGGGATCGTCCTCGGTGCGCGCAGTGCATTCAGCAATGAAGTCTGCCAGCGTCTGTCCCTTGATCGTCGGCCTTGGTTTGAACTCAATGTGGTACTGGCCGATCATCAGGGACCATTTGGTTATCCTCCCGCTGGCCATGGGGTTCCGGAGGACCGTAGCGAGAGGTTGTGTCGTGTATACAATCACTGGGTGTGCCTGGAAGTATGGTGCCAGGCGTTTGACGGATGCTATCAAGGCGAGGATCGTCTTCTCCATCAGTGTGTATCTGGTCTCCGGACCGTTCAGCGCCTTGCTCACGAAATAGATCGGTCGCTGAACGCCTTCCGCCTCCTTGAGAAGCACAGCACTCACAGCCAAGTCTGCCACCGCCAGGTACATGTATAGCTGCTCCCCGGGATCTGCCTTGGTGAGGACGAGCGGAGAAGAGAGGTATACTTTGAAATCTTCGAAGGCAGCCTGGCACTCTGGCGTCCACTCAAAGGGATTTGCCTTCTTCATGATCTGAAAGAAAGGAATTGCCCTATCTGCTAGCTTTGACATGAATCGGCTCAGGGCTGCCAGTCTCCCGGTGAGGCGCTGCACATCCTTCAGGTTCTTCGGGGCCTCCATGTCAACTATTGCCTTTACCTTCTCTGGGTTAGGCTCGATTCCCCGCTCACTCATCATGTAGCCGAGGAACTTGCCGCCCTTGACGGCAAAGGCACACTTCTTTGGATTTAGCCTCATGCTAGCCTCCTCCATGATGGTGAAGATCCTCTCCATATCCCGGACGTGGTCCTCCCTCTTCTTGCTCTTGATCAGGATGTCGTCCACGTAAGCTTCCATTGTTTTCCCTAGTACGTCTTTGAACAACATCCCGATCATTCTCTGGAAGGTGGCCATGGCATTCCTCAGGCCGAACGGCATGACCACATAACAGTACACGCCCTCCGCTGTGACGAACGCCGTTTTCTCTGCATCATCAGGATGCATGAATACCTGGTGGTAGCCTCTGAATGCATCCATGAAGCTGAGCAGCTCGCAGCCCGCCGTTTCATCCACGAGCAAGTCGATCCTCGGCACTGGATACGGATCCATCGGGCAGGCCTTGTTGAGGTCCGAGTAGTCAACGCACATCCGCCATGTGTCGCCCTTCGGGGCTAACACCACGTTGGCCAACCACTCCACGTGGATGACCGGCCGGATGTGCTTGATGTTGAGGAGCGTAGCCGCCTCTCTTTTGATGAACTCTCGCCGTTCGGCTGCCATGTATCTCTTCTTCTGCTGTATGGGCTTGGCATCCGGCCGTACGGCGAGTCTGTGGCAGATGAGGTTGGGGTCTATCCCGGGCATGTCCTCCGGCCCTCTGGCAAATAGGACTTTGAACTTCCGGAGGACAGCTATGACCCCCTCCTTGATCTCAGGTTCGAGGTCGGCGCCGATGGACACCTTCCTGTCCGAGGGGTCATCCAGCTCCACTTCCTCGAGCAGGGCAGCCGGTTCCAGACGAGCGTCGAAGTCAGCCTGCCTGGCTTTCTCAGTGATGCTGTTGACCCGGGCTTCTCGCTCTCTGAATCTCTCCATGGCTTTGGTGTAGCAGGCCCTGGCCATGTGCGGATCCGTGCGGGCGACCCCCACCCCTGTCTCGGTGGGGAATTTGATGCATGAGTGCCGCACGGAGCAGATGGCCTCAAGATCCTCCAAGCCGGGCCGGCCCAAGATTGCGTTATGAGCACATTTTAGGCGGACCACGACGAACGTCATCCGGATGCGGGTGGTGTGAGGTCCATCCCCGATCTCAACGGGGAGGCCGATGGTACCCTCCGCATCGATGCAGTCCCCTGTGAAGCCAGAAAGAGGGGTACGTAGGGGGGCCAGCTGATCCTTCCTCAACTTCATTCCCTCGAATGCCTCCCAGTAGAGGACGTTCACGCTGCTGCCCGTATCAACAAGGACGCGTCGGACGATCGCATTGTTGACATCCATGCTGATCACCAACTCATCCCTGTGGGGGGCCGGTGACATCGGTAGGTCGGCCGGCCCAAAGGCGATGGCCTCCACCTTGTTCTTTTTGGCGGGGGGTGCTGATATGGAGCCCACATAGAGGGACCTCTCAAACTTCTTTCGTTCCGCAGGCGTGTCCCCAGTCTCTGCGCCCCCGAAGATTACCTTGATCTCCAACTTCTTCTTTCCGCCGTTCGGGCCGCGGGACCCCTCCGGACGTTTATCAGCACTCCGATAGTCTACGTCCTTTGGTTCCGCCTCGCGCTGATCGTCGCGGCGCCATGACCGTGATCTCGGGTTCGGCTGCCTCGGGCTATTCTTTTTTAACAGCTGGGTGAACTCGCCCAGGTAGCCTTGCCGGATCAGCTCGTCGATGGCCATTCTCAGCTGTCTGCAGTTGTCGGTGAGGTGGCCGACCCTCTGGTGGTATTCGCAATATGCGGTCTCATCCTGACCCATAAGTGCCTTCTTGTCTTGGGGCTCCCTTAGGATACCCTTGTTTTTGATGGCGTCGAAAATCTGACTGACGGGGTAAGCCAGAGGGACGTGGTATTCCTCCGGGCGTACGCGGCTGGCCTCCGGATGAGCCTTCCATGGAACCATGCCGCCGTCCGTCTTCTTCTTTTTGCTCGGGGGGGATGGCCCGCCTCCGGGACCGAGCCTATCCGCCAATTTCCGGGAGGGGGCGGCAGGCGCGCCGTCCCTCAATCTGATCTCCTCCTCAATGGAGGCGTACTTTTGAGCCCGAGCCAGCACCTCGGTATAGCTGGTGCTGGGATTTCTCCGAAGGTCCCGGTACAGGTCCCCTGTTGCTAGAGCGCTGGTGAACATGTTCACCCCCAGCCGCTCGTCCAGGTCGTCCACCTGAAGCACTTCATCTCTCCACCTGACCAGGAATTGGGCCAGAGGTTCGTCCTTCCCCTGCTTTACACTTGTGAGCGATGTGAAGCTCTTCTTGGGGGTGGTGCTGGCAGCGAATTGTGCCATGAACTGCTGGGACAGCTGTTCGTAATTATCAATGGATCCGGGCCTCAGCTGCCCGAACCATTCTTGCGCCGGACCTCTCAGGGTGCTGAAGAAGAGCCGGCAGATGGCCTCATCAGATGCCCCCAGCATAGAGAGGTTCCCCTGGAAGCTGATCAGGTGAGCCTTAGGATCTCCGGTCCCGTTGTATACTATTCCCTGGGGGGGCCTGCAGTCCCGCGGAATTTCCGCATTCATGACCCTCTGGGTGAAGGGTGAAGTGAGGGAGAAGCGCGGCGTGGCTGGGGTGGCCTCCGCCCGTCTGTCCATTTCGGCTAATCGTCGCTCCATTGCCTCTAGCCGGGCCTCCTGTGCGGCCCTTCCGGGGGACACAGGAGGGGCGGCCTCGAGCGCAATGTTCCTTCGTGGGGCAACCGCGTCGGGTTGCCTCCGTGTGATATGGGCGCCAAGTCTTTGGAAACGTCGTCCAATATTACTGGCTGCGGGGGTAATGACGGTGCCCCGCTGTTCGGAGGGAACATCCGGCGTGCGTCCCCGGTGGTCATCCTGCCAACCATAGCGGGGAGTGCTGGCGCTGGTGTGCCCCCCAGCTCCATGGGAGGACGGATTCTGGCCCAACCTCATGTGGATGGGTGTCCGGCGCCCGGCAGATTCCGCGGTCTCATCCAGGGTCTGCATGCGGCGGACAGGCGATATGGGCGTCCAGATGGTGTTGGCTGAATGCACCTCTTCGTTCGCCTCCTGTTCGTCCGCCATTCGGCGCATTGTTTCCGCCAGTTCCCTCATGAGTCGAGGGTCATGCCTGGCTTCATGGGGGATGAGGTTTGTGAGGCCACCCTCTCCCCCGGTTGTCCCCAACGTCTCAGAACGTTTCGTGGTTTGCCCGCGGTTGCTTCGTCCGCGGGACAGCTGCTCGGAGAGGTCGCGTTGGCGGTTGTTTCTTGTCATCGTGCTTGCTTTGGGTAGATTTAGTAGCTGTTTGGGAGAGTTTTTTGGAAACTTTTAGTTCAGTTTCCCACAGACGGCGCCAGTGTTGAGGTTTATTCCTTCAACCTTCAGGCCCAACACGTAAGCCCAAAGATTTCGAGTGGAGTGCGTGTGAATAACTAGCCCAACAAGCAGATGATAGGGATCGAGAAAGGCAGGAAAGTAGCAAAAAGTATTGTATTAGGGAGTTATTAAGGGATAATAATACCTAACCATTTACTTGCTACTTTCCTGCCTTTCTCGATCCCTATCATCTGCTTGTTGGGCTAGTTATTCACACGCACTCCACTCGAAATCTTTGGGCTTACGTGTTGGGCCTGAAGGTTGAAGGAATAAACCTCAACACTCATGAAGACAAGTATATAATATGTGATCTCACATATTATATTATATACTAACTAATACCTAGCCCAGAACCCTTTGCTACATTATCACAATTATTTAACATACTTCTATTATTATTAGTTATTGTTATACTAATGGGTTCCTATCACTCCAGATACACAAAATCACAATTACAAAGTTCGAATTTAAGGCTTTAAAGTTTAATCAATAGTGTCATCTTTAAATTAAACTCTATTATAACTACTATTTGTGTAGTTGGCAATACGTGGCATAAGACTTTTAAATCAATTACGTGATACGAACAAAGACATATACATCGAATTGTGCTTTTTAAGGACCAAGGATAGAACCATTGTGAATTGTGATAAGTAATTGTCCTTAATCGCATGCACTGTGATATGAATAGGTAGGATGCATTGGGTCAGACCTGCTCCTAAATGTGTTGGCCTTTTTCCATGATTTGAGTTTAGTACTTGACTTGTCCTTTTCATCAATTTTTATAATACTTCTTCTTTTTGAAAGTCACTAATTATTTTTTGCTTGGATCTCATTTTATTCAAGTGGATTCTAAAGAAGATTAAAGAGTCGACAAATATGGAAATATCTCTTACCCAAGTGGCAAAAAAAAAGCAAACTTGTGAACCAAGTACCAACACCATCTCACGTCGACTTTCTTAATTTAAATGTAAGTATATTTTTAAATGGTTGCATACAAGTAATATCATTTTTTCAGTATTTCAATGTTAGCGATTTTGCTAGGTGGATCATGGCTTTCCATTGCATTCGACTAAAGCAAAGATAATTTTGGAAGCGGCTCGCTGGTATACATTGCAAACATCATTGAAGAGAACATACAAAGAACCCAATTATGAGAGGGATGCTTGTGAAAGTATTGCTAACTTCACATCTTTTGCTAAACACACCAGGTCTTATTTAACCTTTGCTCAGGTTAGTAACTTTTAACTACTAATACTAATATAATTAGTATTTACTACTTTTATAAGTTTATTTTTACCATGTAGTGCAATACAACATAATTATATTTTTAATTATAAAAATTACTTCCTAGATATACGTAACATTGAAGAATGCGAATGAGATGTTTAACGCATATTGTACAATAATGAAAGCCGGTGGTGATAATGTGGTTTATGATGTGAACACCGGTCATCCTTATCCGGCTAATCCCAAGTTTGAATCGGTAAGTTGATTATTGCAAATGGACATTTATTTATCACTTAATTTTTCTCTATGCTTCATATTATTTAGTTTGTAATATTTTCATGTGAAAAATTTACAGTTAACGGCTTCAATTATAAGCAAACAACACTGTCATGTGATTGGCAGATTTGAGCTTTTAAAGGAATGTTTTGATTATACATGGCAAAAACATTTTTGTACGAGAGTTGTAGATGGAGCACATATCCTACGCCACAGGACTTGATTGTATCCCTACCACACTTTTATGATCAAATTAGAGGTTGTCACTTCCATACCTAAGTTGATTTTGTACTTCATCTACTAATTTTTTTTATGTTCACTAACTTTCTTCTTCTTCTTCTTCTTCTTCTTCTTCTTAGCTTCTTAGCTTTTGTCCTTTCTGCTCAAAGAAAGAATATTCTTCTTCGACACTTCTATCCGCAAACCAGAACCTCATTTTTTCTGGTTCCCAAGCCACTCCAGTTAGCTTGTTGGATAGAATGGGAGATGGTTTGTGCACAATGTGTTTTCTTAACATGACTACTCTTATATTGTTATTACTTGGACATTTTAGTTTCTGTTAAACTTTGAACTAGGGGTGGACTCGAGCCGGGCGGCCCGACCCGGAACCGGCCCGGGGCCCGGTGGGTCCATCGGTTCAGTTTGGCCCGGCCCGGGTGATGGGCGGTCCGGGCTCGGGCCCTGCTTTAGGTGAACCGGCCCGGCCGGTTCGGGCCCGGTCCGGGCCGGATTTTAATTTTTTTTTTTTTTTTGAAATTTTTTTAAGTTTTGGGTTGGATTAGGTATTTTAGGCCATTTGAGGTAGTTTGGGATGAAGGGGGAGGGGTAGGGAGTTAAATAAGAGAACCAAAAAAAAGGGCCGGTTTAGCCCGGCCCAGCCCGGCCCGGTTTGGCCCGGAACCGGAACCGGCCACCGGCGGTTCGGGCTCGGGCCCAGGCCCGAACCGGCCCGGGTCCACCCCTACTTTGAACTTTGTCATTCTACATTTACTAGTTTTTTATGATCAAAACTAGTTTTTTTTAATATAATATACTTCCTTCGTTCCTTTTTAATTGCAACAGTCAACATTTCACGTTTGCCAACACACAAGTTTGACCATTAATATCTTTCATTCTTTATTACTAAAAAAATTTTAAAAAATCATATTTTGAAAATTTAGAATAAGAAGAATTTAGTAGTATTTTTAAAAAAATTAATTTATAATACATTAATGAATAAAATATAGTCAAAGTAGAATGTATGAATAGTGCAAAAAGTCCAATGTTGCGATTAAAAGAGAACGGAGGATAGTATATTACTTATTTAAGTGGCTATAAATAAATTATTCTGAAAATGAAAAATTTTTCACTATACCATTATTCTGAATCAACATATTTTAGTATAGGACTATAGGTGTTGAAACAATAGATTGGAATTTGGAAATAGTAGAATAGACTGAATAGTTTATTTAATCATTTTCCTTAACAGTAATGATGATAATCAGAATTGTTATAATAAAATGGATCATGATAATAGTGGAAATTACATAAATATAACTACTTTAAACCCCACTAACAAAAATATGACTATTTACCCTATTTTTACTCCCATGGTGCCGTATGAGTTCCTCATTAATAGTCATATTTTTGTAACCCCAAATATTTTTGATAATATTCATGTAAAAAACTCATAATAGTGGCCTAATAATAAATAATAATTTTTCCACTTTTAATTATATCGTCATTCTTAAGTACGTAATATAACTTGCTATTATAAATAGACTTGTGGCAATATTCAAATAGAAAACGGACGTTTAACATTTTAACTTAATAAGACTTACGAAAAAAACTTAATAAAACTTTTGCATGGATTATAATTAGACTTGGACTCGGGCTTGTTTGGGCCCGGGCCGGGCCTAGGCTTGGTCAGGCCTCCGGTCCTGGAATGGGGGGCCCGGAATTGGCCCGTCATTCGCCCGGTGCTGGTTTGGGCCGGGTCACCTGCCGGGTCGATGTGAGCGGAGTTTAAAATATAGTTATCATATTGTCTTAAAAAAGCAGGAAAATGTTCTTTATATCTAAGAAGAACTTTAATTAATTTATAAGTACTATTCCACCGAATAGACAAATCTTTAGGAAAAGCAACATATTTCACACCTCTTTCAATTAAATAATTTTGTCATTTTAATTAAGTTGACCATTGCCCCAAATACGTCTAATCCCCCCCTTGACTACCTTCATAGCATCTTCTAACGCTGTTAAACCGTCTTGCACACATAAATTTATAATATGGCATGCACATCGTTGATGAAAAAATCTATTCATCAAAGTATTAGAACCACACAATTCACGCAATCTACGTATAGTAACAGTATTATTAGTAGCATTATCAAAACCTATAGCAAACACTTTATCAATCAAATTATACTCAGTTAAAATACGTTCAATCAAAATATAAATATGCTCAGCGGTGTGACGATCATTAAATTCACGAAAAGCAAGAACACGTTTATACAAATTCCAATCATTATCAATAAAACGTGCAGTTAGGCCCAAATAATGTAAATTATGATTAGTATCCTCCCAAATGTCAGAACAAATAGTTACACGGCCATTAAAGTTTGCAATTTTTTTTGTAACCTATCCTTTTCCGCACGATAAAGCCTTATAATTTCTTTCTTAACCGTTTTGCTACAATAACTTCTAAATTGAGGATTTAAACTAGTTTGTGTATAATCTTTAAAAGCAAGACTTTCAGAAAACAAATAAGGCAAATTTTTTTCAACAAGTAAGTTAGCTATACCAGTCAAATTTTGTGCATCAGTGTATGAGAAATTGCCAAAAGGTTGGTCATTTGCAAACCTCGATATTTGAGTTTGCTTCCCCTTGCCTTTGTCTATTTTCACATACTCCACAGAGTGCGCGGACTTAAGATGCCTTTTGAGGCTCCCATATTCGCCGGAAGTTCCAAGCTATACTCCTTGCAATGATCACAACTTGCGTACCATTTATCGGTTGTTGGGTCTTTCCTCTTTGTAAAATTATTTTCTATAATAGGAGATTTAGATTTCTTACCAACTTGGGATGGACCGCCCTCGTCCTCCAACTCTTGCTCATCATCCGGGGTGACGTGAGTCCCGTCGCCCCCCTCGTCCTCCTCCACATTGTCATCCTCGAGCTCCTCTTCATCAATGGACTCTGAGATGTTTTGTTGTTGAAAAAAGCGACCATCATTTTGCGCCAATAGTTGTTGTAGTTGCTCGTCGGACATCGCATCCTCATCTCGCTTTTGGTATCCGTCATCAAAATCTTCTCGACTTTGAGAAGAAGACCCGGCCCGCCCTTTACCTTTGCCTTCGCGTAAACTAGGATGACTTGTCGCAATCTCCTTCCTTCGATTGCGTTGGAGATTACCCATATTTACGGAATGTCTGCCACGGTCCATCTTTAAAATGTAACAAATATCATATTATATCAAATGTTTTAATATGAGTACAATAGAAATAATAAAATGCGACTAATAAAATTATAGCAAATTTCCAAAAATCCACTTGCTAATAAAATTAAGTAGTTTTAAACTTTAATGCAACAATTAACAAATAACTAGTTTTTTTACTTTTATGAAAAATGCAACAATTAACAAATTAAATAATAGGGAAATGAAAAATGTAACAATTAACTACTTTTATACTTTAATGCAACAATTAATAATTAACTAGTTTTTTACTTTTATGATGAATGCAACAATTAACAAATTAAATAATAGGGAAATGAAAAATGTAACTATTAACTAGTTTTATACTTTAATGAAAAATGTAACAATTAACTACTTTTATACTTTAATGAAAAATGTAACAATTAACTAGTTTTATGCTTTAATGAAAAAAGTAACAATTAACTAGTTTTATGCTTTAATGAAAAAAGTAACAATTAACTAGTTTTATGCTTTAATGAAAAATGTTACAATTAACTACTTTTATACTTTAATGAAAAATGTAAAAATTAACTAGTTTTATGCTTTAATGAAAAAAGTAACAATTAACTAGTTTTATGCTTTAATGAAAAATGTAACAATTAACTAGCAGATGCCTAGTTAAACATGTGGAGATGGTGTAATGCTTCTAGAGATAGTAATGGAACTTTATGCTGCAAAAACATGTACTGTATGCATTGTTAGGCTGAACCAGCGTAAAAAAGTATATTTGACTCCCCTAGTGAAATAACAATCCTGACTTATGACCAGTGGCACAGTCTAAGGATGAAGCAAAAAAAAAACATCTTGAAATATAAGCTCTACTCAGTGCAGTTTTGTAACGATTATTTAGCTGAAATGACTAATATTTATGAAAGGAAAAGCACTTAGCTATATACAATTCTAAGTTCTAGGTTTACTGTTGGCTTATACCACATATACACATAGCTAAAAGAACCATAACAACAATAAAGAACAAAGTGAAAGAAACTTCTTTAAGAGTTCATCCCACATTGGCTAGATATGAAAAAATAAGCCAACACATAAGATCTTGGGTAACTCATCATGACTTTGTAGTGTACTTGTCTTGTTTTCTAACACTCAAGTTATCCTGTCCAGCATGAGATCAGATGCATTTAAGTGTTTGACATTGGATGTTTACCATATCTAAAACTAATACATAAGCATGGGATGAATCTTAGTTCTTGATATTTTTTTGGTGTGTGTTAGACCCAACACAACCGAACTACAACACATAAGATAAAAAAGACTTTTTTTACCTTCGCAACGCAATAACCAGTGCCTGGTACTCGCTCAGGAGGCAACTTCCAGCTATGGAACTCTTCGTCATGGGAAACAGGAGCCAATTCAGCAGCTAAAAAGGCTTCTTCCTGAGCTAAAGGGCAGGGGAGCATGTGATGCATTGTATTGGGAGGCACACCTATCTTGTTTATGCGACCTTGGAACACAGTCAATAGCAATGACATGAACCCCAACAGCATCAACTCTGCACACACATATTTGCAAACAAAGTTTGAATCTTGATCCATAAATGAGGCAAGTTAAAAGAACTTAAACTCAAACAAGTTCTAATTGATATGGACGGGACATGATAGTTCTTTCTAATATATGTTGTAGTTTTGTTGTGCTGGGTTTAACTCGCACAAAGAAAAACTTAAGAACTAAGATTGCTCCCATACTTATATACTGCGTACTAGTTTTAGATATGGTAAGCATCAGATGTGAAACACTTACACACGTCTCAGCTCATTCTGGAAGGGATAACTTGAGTGCTAGATAGTACACTACAGCTCCCCTAAACTTGATAGGGCTAAACCAAGATCTTATATATTACTACATACTTTTTTATTTCAAATCTAGCCTATGTGGGATAAACTCTTCATGAAGTTTCATTCACTTTGCTCTTTATTGTTATTATGATTCTTTTAGTTATGTGTATATGTGGTCATTTACAAGTGATTCAATTTGATCAGGACTTAACAGATACTCCGTACTACATATGAATTTCATGTTACCATACAGTTCCACTTCAAAAATGTCCACATATGATTAATAATGTTGGTTGAACAGTAGCAAGACAAATGTATTATGAAACAGCAATAGAATAACTATGAATGTAGCATCTATCAATTCCACCAGAGGAAGCGGTCGAGCCCAGTTGGTCGCCGACTCACTCTCCCTAACGGAAGGTCTCGGGTTCGAAACTCAATGGAATGAGTTTCAGCCCTGATTATTGCTGAACCCCCCAACCCCCCTCCCCGAGACTCCCCTGGAGTAAAAAGAAAACCACCATACTCCATATGTATAACATCAAAGAATTTGAACCATAACTTATCCGCCTACAATCAGTGTGACGAAACAGCAATAGAATAATTATGAATGCAGCATCTATAAATTCCACCTACACGCTGTACATGTAAGCTCACATATGGAAATCTATTGCCTTCAAACGGTTTCAGTATGTGAAAAGGGTCCTTACTATTTTCATCAGAATAGATTTCCAAATCAAATACGGAGTATTAAAACTGAAGTTAAAAATTGGGATTGTCCAATAAAGCAATTTATATTCACAATATGCAAAACAAAGCAAACTAATAAAGTAAATTTAAGACATGTACAAGACGAGAAAGGAAATCAGACCTTAAAAACACCATCCAGCTGCATTTCACCTTCGGCTAGGACAATTGTGTTTTCTACAAAAAATCCTGTTGTTATTTTGTATACCTTGTTAAGGAAAATTCACATCTTGGTGTCAACTTCAACTATAAAATAAACAGTAAGTTCAAGTGAAAGAAAATAAATAGATGGAATTTGATGATGATGCAAAGTAGAAATTAAGAATCAATGGATTACAAAAAAAATAGAATTACGAAGGGTTTTTAGCTGAATGTTTTATTTCTCTGTCTACAGTGGTTGCTATTTAGGTACTCCATTCTGTGTATTCGAATGATCCTTTCTATCGAGGAAACACGTTTTCATGAAAAAGCTACATGATGGATGAGCTTCAAGAGGGAAAAAGGATATTGATTCAGATAAATTGACTTCCACCGCTGCATTAAGATCTTCCAAGAAGAAATGACCATCTTCCAATTGAGATATTACACCCATAACCCATTTTCTTCCTATCTGCCCAACCAGGGATTGGATTGGAGATATCTGCCAATGGCCAACATCAAATTTATTACTATAAGCAAAATTATTAGAAGCTGAATTTGAAGTTAGCGTATCCGTTATTTATGTGTGTTTCCTATTCCGGGAGGGAGCATCTCATAACTGCTTACCTCGCAGCTGCCGTACTCAGATATGGTGCTGCCAAAAGCAGGTTTGGAAAAGCGAGGATCACGAGAAAGCTTTTGGAAAGACATCAGGAATCTGTCCTTGTATAAGGTGGCTTTTGCAGAGGCATCACCATGAATTGGAAGCCTCCCTGCATGCCTAAAAACCAAAGAATGCCCATGTGATTGACAATCACGGGTTTTCCAACTGGATCTCATTCAGAATCTGATGCATGCTACTATATAATATTATGGAAAGATAAACAGAGCAATCAAGTAGAATAATGAGGAGTAATATCTGATTGATTTGCTTGATTGAGTTTATTATGATTTGATTTTGATACCTTCATTATTTAATCTATTTTAGGAAGTTCTTTTCTAGGATTTCCCTTCCCTTGTTATCTGCATGTAGTCCCTCTTATAAAAGGGAGCTTTGTTATGCTAATAAGATATCGAAGAAAAATTAAGAAGAAACCAAGGAGAAGGAAAACTCCCCAAATTTACACATCCCCTATCCATTTATCATTTTTATTTTATTCCCGTGACGCAAAGAATCCCGGTACATACCAGAATCCATATGGACCTATGCTAAGCCTGAAACAGACTGGAAGTGTGCAGGAATTCAGAGATGAATTTGAAATGGTGATGGCTCCTCAAATTAATGTAGATATGGAGATTCTGAGGGGAATTTTCCTTAATGGGGTGAAGACTAAGATTAAAGCTGAAGTGAAGTTACATAACTCCACTTCTTTGAATGATATTATGGACATGGCACTGTTGGCTGAGAATAGAAATGAGGCTATCTATCTGAAGGGTAAAGGTGAAGAAAAGGTGGCTGGGAGAGATAAGGGACCTGTGACTTATAAACCTGCAGTTTGGGGAGAAAGATACAAGTCCAAATCGGGTAGTTGAGTAGTTCATGGCCCAGTACAAGTGGGAAGGATGCTGCAGGAAACAAGAGTAACCCATCTTGGTTTACTCCCGAGGAAAAGGAGACAGAAATAAATCCCTCAGACATCAGGAGGGTGGGGCCACAACTGTCACAAGAAGAATATCTGGACAGGAGCAAGAAGGGACTTTGTTTTAAGTGTGGAGAAAAATGGAGCAAAGCACACTCTTGCAAATTAAAGAATTATAAACTCATAATGGTGGAAGATTCTAATAATGAGGAAGACATAGAAGGTGCAGAGGTGGAAATTAAAGCTGAAGAAGGAACTACCATGGAATTTAAGTCCATGCAGCTTTCTGTTATGAGTAAGGAAGGGATACCTTCTCTGAGGACTTTGAAGGTCAATGGGAGTTTAGAATGGGCTGAAGGGAAGACAGAGGTTGCTGTACTCGTTAACAGTGGGGCTACCCACAACTTCATTTTCCAAAACCTGGTGAAGCAACCGGTGAAGCAACTGGAACTACCTTATACTACCACCCCCAGGGTACAAGGTTCAAATTGGGAATGGAGAGAAGGTTTCCAACAATGGTCCATGTGAGAATCTGACTTTGTGTATGCAGGGTACTAACATAAAGCAAAAGTTCTATATGTTAAATTTAGAAGGAACTGATTTAGTGTTGGGCATGGAGTGACTGACTACTTTGGGGGATGTGGAGATAAACATTCAGAAGCAGAGTATTAAATGGAAGGTTCAGGGGGTAGATCAGCAGATTCAAGGGGATCCACACTTGAATTCCATGGAGATATCACTGAAAACCATGACTCAGATTCTGCAGGAAACTGGTGTGGGTTATTTTATGTTTTGTGAAGGATAATCTGTGAAGGAAAAGGGTGTGGTGATATGAATCAGAATTTGGGCTTGAAAGAAGAGGGGAAGAAGCCCTTGTGGGTTTCCCGAAGGCGGGAGTGCGGGACAGGCTTGAGCCTACCTCCGTGGGCTGGTTCCGAACTGTTTAATTAATATTTATTCTTTTTATTTTTCCTGATTTGTTTCCTTTTGGAGTTAATTAGGATTTCTAATATTTGTTTCCTATTAGGAGTTAATTAGGATTTCTATTATTTCTTTCTTATTTGAAGTTGATCGGAATCTTTATTATTCTGTTTCCTAGTTGGAGTTGATTAGGATCTCTAGGATTTTGTTTCCTAGTTTAAGAGTTAGTAGATGGGTATTTAAACCCCTTGTTAGGATTCATTCTTGCTGATCTTGGAATAAAGTTGGTTTAGCCTTTTGGCTCTGGGCAATGGTATTTATTTATCGTTGATTATCTGGGCAACGGTTCACCCCGTTGATTTTATTTTCCTGTTCTTATCATGTGACTGGTGCTGGAAGTCTCGAAAAAAATCTGGGGGCTTTGACAAAATCTTGGGTGCAGGATGATCCACAGTTTATTGCAATTGAAGAGTACATGTTCAAACAATGTGATGCAAAGCTGGGGGTGACAGTAAAGAAAAGTGCAGTTAAGTTGGGGAAGAAAATCTTGAAACCTGGTTACAGTGGCGGACCCACTAAGGGTCCCACGGGGTCCTGGGACCCCGTGGATTTCGAAAAATTTACCTATATATTATATATATGATATGAAGCGGGAAGAGCATGGGGCGGGACGGGCTTGAGCCCACCTTCGTGGGCTGGCTACGAGCAATTTAATTAATTTTAATTATTCCTTTTATTTTGTTTCCTAATTTATTTTGTTTCCTAGTATGATTTAATTAGGACTTCGATTAATTAGAGGTTTCCTATTTCTATTTAGTTTCCTTGAATGGTTTAATTAGGACTCCTATTATGTTTCTTACTAGGATTTAGTTTCCTATTCAGTTTTGGATGCAAGGGTTATATAAACCCCTTGCCTAGGCTTATTCAAAGAAGGCATTAATAATATTGGTTTTAGCTATTTAGCTCTGGGCAACGGATCCAGCCGTTGATTATTTTGGGCAACGGGTTACCCCGTTGATTTTATTTTTCTGTTCTTATCAATTGGTCCGACCTGCCGGATCCCGTCCTGCCAAGATGACGAGATCTCAGAATGATCGATTGACAGAGCTGGAGAACGAACAAACTCGTATGAGAGAAGAAGTGACCCGGATAAGGGCCGAACAGGCAGAGCATGGTGGCAAGCTGTCGGAGATCATCGCCTCACTAGCAGCGTTGACCCAGGCGATGGTCCCGCCGGTCACACCGAAGAAAGCCACGGATGACGTGGGTCGAATCTCGGCAACCGAGCCGCATGGAGAAGGCGTGCTGAGCAATCCAACTATAACGCTACTTCCGTCGTTCGATGGGGGAGACCCAATTGGGTGGATCGCTCGGGTAGAGCAACAGTTCGAATTACACAACACTTTACCGGAAAAGAAGGTGGCTGCCGCGATGGTAGCTATGGAAGGAGGAGCGCTTTACTGGGTGACCTGGCTGAGATCGCGCAGGCCTGGGATGACTTGGGCAGATTTCAAGCAAGCCTTGGTGGACAGATTTGATTCTCGATTTCAGGGGAATAAGTATGAACGATTGTCCGGAGTCAGGCAAATTGGGTCTATAGAAGATTACAATATCTTGTTTGTTCAGCTAGCAAGCCAAGTTCTAGGGTTACCCGATGAGCACTATTTGGGATATTACATGAGAAGAGATAATCTGAAGCTCGTTGCGATTGCTCCGACCAAACAACCTGGAGATGGCTATGGAATTAGCTCGCGAAGTGGAGTATAATCTGTCCGTCCAAAGTGGAGAAAGTGGCAGCCTGAATTATCATTCATCAGGGGTACGTTCTAGCAGCCTTTTAAGGGCAAACACAGGTTCCCCGTTGACTGCCATTGGTGGCAGCTTACAGGGTTCGGAGGGCAGCTTTGCGAAAGATATTGGACAGCCTCTGGGGACGAAGTCAGGGTTGTCTGGGCAGTCTACGACACGCTCTCAGTTCACTCGACTTCCGCCGAAAGAGTTTGCAGAACTGCGGGCGAAAGGGTTATGCTTTAGGTGCAAGAAACCATTTACACCAACACATGACTGTCCCTTTAAGCAGTTGCGGGTAATGATAGCTGAGGAGGATGAAGAGTTGGACCTCAAGCAGCATGAATTCTGTGAAATAACCGGCCAGAAAAGGTCCTGGAAAGAGAAGAAGGATATTTTCCAGTCTATACTATGTCTGGAAATTTCAGTTCCCGATCCGCGAGTTTTCAACCTTGAGGACAAGGTTAATTTGAAGGAGGATGGATTGATATGAAGCGGGAAGAGCATGGGGCGGGACGGGCTTGAGCCCACCTTCGTGGGCTGGCTACGAGCAATTTAATTAATTTTAATTATTCCTTTTATTTTGTTTCCTAATTTATTTTGTTTCCTAGTATGATTTAATTAGGACTTCTATTAATTAGAGGTTTCCTATTTCTATTTAGTTTCCTTGAATGGTTTAATTAGGACTCCTATTATGTTTCTTACTAGGATTTAGTTTCCTATTCAGTTTTGGATGTAAGGGTTATATAAACCCCTTGCCTAGGCTTATTCAAAGAAGGCATTAATAATATTGGTTTTAGCTATTTAGCTCTGGGCAACGGATCCAGCCGTTGATTATTTTGGGCAACGGGTTACCCCGTTGATTTTATTTTTCTGTTCTTATCAATATTATTTACAAAATTAATTAGTAAATGTATATATAAAACAAATGCGAAGCAAGGACACAAAGACTGCCGCAGACTAGTCAGATCATGCGTGGGTTTAGAGTCTTGAGCCACCAGAGATATGGAGTTCGATTCCCGCTCTTACAGCGTGTTTTTTGTTTTTTTTAGCTTCTTACTTTAGTACGCCATTTTTTAACCCCTACTAATCCCTAACTGCAGACCAAAGCAAATCGATCAGTACCATCGTATCTCCCTTCAGACCTCCGTCCCTGCAAATTTTTATCTATGAATTTTTTTTTCAATATTTTACGATTTAGGATGATAAAAAAATTTAGTAATGTATCTAGATTTAAAAAAATTCGGAATATCGAGAGTAGTTCAGGTGTTAATTCAAAGGATTTGTCTTTAATAAATGAAGTATTGAAACTAATTTGGCTTATAATATGCATGAACAACATGCTGATTTTCATCCTAATGTTTAAGACGAGGTACGTCGTAGTTACCTTAAAAAAGGGCCGTTTCATCCTCGGGGTCATGATTTCTCTTTTAAGGTAATTAGGTAATTTACAACAAAAAACGTAACTCTATTTCAAGTTGGTAATATTGATAAAGACGCTGCATTTTATTTATCATGTTATTTGTTTAAGAATGAGTGGAAAGTTGGTGGTGATCATTTTTTTGGGAATGAATAAGGTTTTACCATGTAATCAATTATAAGTATTTATTATTTGATGGTAAAAGAAGTTTTATGAATCATAACCACATTACATCAGACTAAAGTATCTCTAAGAAGCTAAGAAAGAATTGGCTAGTGACTTATATTGTACGAGTTTGTTGTTCAAGGAGAAGGTTTGGCTTGAGTGTCATAAGGGCCCAGTGTAGTCAGCAGTCAAAGTCATAAGGAGCCCAATACATTATTAAACTCTGACCTATTCATCAACTTTCAAATTTTACACAACACCCATCTGAAAGGCTACTAAATCGTCAAGGAAATCGAATGAGTGTCTTTGATAATTAATTCAGGTAGGAATACGAAGTACCGTGTGTGGAGACAGGTAAAGGTGGAGGCTGTGATCATAATTCCATATAATGGGTTGCACAGTGAGAGGGAGGGGGCATAGATGGCTTTGATGAGTAATAGTAGCAACAAGCTGCAGCAAGCAAAAAAAAAACATCACATTGTCAAATGGATTCTTATAATTTATGATACAGGGTATCTATGCATAAACGAGGATAGTTAAATAATACTTACATGCTCAAATGGATCGCTGGTCTCGTCGGTAGAAGGTGGCATTATGCATGACCTGCGCATTCTGTAAAGCATATCCTGCCGGAAAAATACAATCTCTTGCGTGTAAAACTTGATTCTGCTTTCAACACATAGAGCACAAAAAATTTAAAAAAACACCATAATCATAAAGCTGTAATAAGTATTTTTCTTTAGATCAAGTCAAAGCAAGTCTTAGGGGCATTTCTGAATCTATTGTGATAGCAAGACATTATGGAGGTCCTCGCAAATGAGTTCTCAAATGAATAACAAGAAAAACAACAAGAGTAATTATAAGAATCCCCCCTTCATCCCAATTTGTTCTTCCCATTTTCTTTTATATGCAGTGGAAATGTGGAATTGTGTGGTTAAGATTCATTTAATAGAACAAAAAAAATTAATATGAAGCACACAATTGTTCCCTCAAAAGAAATGATAACTTTTTGGGATTACCCAAAAAACGAAAGTGAATAACGTTTGATATAGAGTAATAATAATCAACTTTCTTTTCTGCTTGGACACTAGAAAAACTATGTTGTGTGAGTTAGTCAATGCTCAAGTAAAATAAAAGTATTAGTATGAACTAGGGTCAGAATAGATCCTCCACTAAACACAACTTATCCAATAAAGTACACCTGCATGGGTTGCTAGAGAATATGGCGGTTGGAATATTCTTTTGAAGTTCTTCTGTAATGTATTTTGGCAAACGGCATCTAGGCAACACTGTTGAAGGACCTGAACAAGAAGATATTAGTTAACAACTGCATTTTGCTTCCTAAAGATATTCTAAACAAACATGTGATGATTTATTCAACAGACCTACATCATCAGGACCAGGAATGAAAAGAAACCGACTATGCTCTTTCAGTCGTTGATGGGATGCAATAAGTTCCCCAAGTTTTCCAAACTGTGACCTAGACATTATGTTGATTGTTAACTTTTATTGTAAGCTCAAGTGGCTGAAACAACTGGACATACAAAGCAACATTAGCTTAACATGTACCTGAGACTTGAGAAAGACTTGAAGGAGAGGTTGCATGGATGAGAGCAGAAATTTCCCATAAAAACAAATAATGAAGGAACCACCTCTACATCTTCATAACCACTAAGGATAATCTCGAGATTTCTCAGTCTTCTCTAAGGAAAAGTTAATAGTGAATTAGAATTTAAAATTCTTAGTACAAAAAATAAAAAACTAAACTTACAGGAAAACTTTATACCTCTTCATTGTCCAACCATATATCAGAGAGGATGACAAACATGTCATTCACAGTTCTTTTTTCCAGCTCTGCAAGTCTTAGCTATTTCAATGGTTAAGAAAATTTGATGTGTGGGCAGTGTGGCATTTGAAAATTTGCATACAAAATTTATAAGAACATTTGACAGGTGTTATAAATATTACTCAATTTGTTAGTAGTACTATATTAGATGTTATTGAAGCTTGTAAAGGATACATTTTCCTCATTTGTTAGTATACCACCACCAAAGAAGTCAATCCCTGAAAAAAATGACGTGGACTTTTCTCGGTCTTCTAGAGGAGGAAACCCACATGTCCTAACCTATCATAACAATTATCAGCAAATTAGTAATCAAGAGAAGCAAAAGAAAGAAATAATAAAATTCAAGGAACACAACATTTAACTGAATAATAATGTTGGTCGAACAGTAGCAAGACAAATGTATTATGAAACAGCAATAGAATAACTATGAATGTAGCATCTATAAATTCCACCAGAGGAAGCGGTCGAGCCCAGTTGGTCGCCGACTCACTCTCCCTAACGGAAGGTCTCGGGTTCGAAACTCAATGGAATGAGTTTCAGCCCTGATTATTGCTGAACCCCCCAACCCCCCTCCCCGAGACTCCCCTGGAGTAAAAAGAAAACCACCATACTCCATATGTATAACATCAAAGAATTTGAACCATAACTTATCCGCCTACAATCAGTGTGACGAAACAGCAATAGAATTATTATGAATGCAGCATCTATAAATTCCACCTACACGCTGTACATGTAAGCTCACATATGGAAATCTATTGCCTTCAAACGGTTTCAGTATGTGAAAAGGGTCCTTACTATTTTCATCAGAATAGATTTTCAAATCAAATACGGAGTATTAAAACTGAAGTTAAAAATTGGGATTGTCCAATAAAGCAATTTATATTCACAATATGCAAAACAAAGCAAACTAATAAAGTAAATTTAAGACATGTACAAGACGAGAAAGGAAATCAGACCTTAAAAACACCATCCAGCTGCATTTCACCTTCGGCTAGGACAATTGTGTTTTCTACAAAAAAATCCTGTTGTTATTTTGTATACCTTGTTAAGGAAAATTCACATCTTGGTGTCAACTTCAACTATAAAATAAACAGTAAGTTCAAGTGAAAGAAAATAAATAGATGGAATTTGATGATGATGCAAAGTAGAAATTAAGAATCAATGGATTACAAAAAAAATAGAATTACGAAGGGTTTTTAGCTGAATGTTTTATTTCTCTGTCTACAGTGGTTGCTATTTAGGTACTCCATTCTGTGTATTCGAATTATCCTTTCTATCGAGGACACACGTTTTCATGAAAAAGCTACATGAAGGATGAGCTTCAAGAGGGAAAAAGGATATTGATTCAGATAAATTGACTTCCACCGCTGCATTAAGATCTTCCAAGAAGAAATGACCATCTTCCAATTGAGATATTACACCCATAACCCATTTTCTTCCTATCTGCCCAACCAGGGATTGGATTGGAGATATCTGCCAATGGCCAACATCAAATTTATTACTATAAGCAAAATTATCAGAAGCTGAATTTGAAGTTAGCGTATCCGTTATTTATGTGTGTTTCCTATTCCGGGAGGGAGCATCTCATAACTGCTTACCTCGCAGCTGCCGTACTCAGATATGGTGCTGCCAAAAGCAGGTTTGGAAAAGCGAGGATCACGAGAAAGCTTTTGGAAAGACATCAGGAATCTGTCCTTGTATAAGGTGGCTTTTGCAGAGGCATCACCATGAATTGGAAGCCTCCCTGCATGCCTAAAAACCAAAGAACGTCCATGTGATTGACAATCACGGGTTTTCCAGTTTTAATGTTCACACTTTAGTATAAGTTGATAATAAGAATGGAAACAAAACCCAGTCATTTAAGTAGCAAAGGGAATTGTATATGAGTATATGACAACACTTTTTAAAAAACATTTAAGTATACATTCTCTACAACAACATCCAAGCCTTAGTCCCAAAAGATATTGGGGTCGGCTAACATGAACCAATACATTCTCTAAGAATCAGTACCTGGGGTACAACCATACAGTGCACTTAACCATGAAGTGTAAGACAGTTAGGAAAAAAGGAAGAAGCTTCATATCACAACACCACTAATTCATGTACATTAAAGAAAAACATAATCAAAACATAAAGATATGGTTGTATAAGGCATTCTCATACAGATATGTAATTAGGTATAGTTTATTTGAAACACTAATTTAAAAAACTCCAACTTGCTATTTAAAGGAAACCATAATGTCCGAATATATCTACCATGGCAGCTGCATAATCATACTGAAAATTGAAGTGACAATAAATAACAGAGAGATAAACTTTAAATTAGATACGCAGATGTACTTGGGGTCGAACGAAATATCAAAATAAAAATTAACAAATGATTGGCATGATTTGTTGCCGTACTCATAGAAGATTTTCTTGACTGGATCCAGGGCCGTCTAATGAATTTGGAGGCCCCGGTTTTAAATGTAAAATCGAGGCCCCAAATTAATAATACTCCGTATAATTTTTTAAAAACAATCAATCCAAATAGTTCACTACTAGAAATTTATGCTTAGCCCACAAAATTGGTCCATACAAAAATAAATTTGTCGTTAAATGCCTTTTCCCCCCACAAATTTTACATTTTGTCGGGATGGTATTTTCCCTACAAATATATCTCTACATACAAAAGTTCTTTGCAGCTTGAAGTTTCCTTTTCCCACAAAAAAATATTTTGTCTCCTTTGCACTTTTCCCACAAAAATATCGTAAGGCGATTGCTAAATATCATTTTTCCCCAAAAGTACCGAATCAATTGGAATTGTAAATCTTGTTCAATTGTATATATATTTACTGCTCGTGGAAAGTATATTTACAAGAAATTGTAAAGTGTACTTCTAATCAATATATTTACAAGAAGTTAGATTATTATATTATACTACGTCGTACATATATAATTTATATATAACATAAATCATAAATAGTTAAATAAAGAGTTTGTAATACTAAAATAAGTTGAATCGACTGATTCTGATGAAATTTATGAAATTCTAATTGAGGTGCCTAGATTGGCTGATTTTGCTTTTGAAAAATATAATTAAAATATATTTTACTCATAGAAAAGTTTTTTTTAATGAAAATAACTAAAATAATCTTTTACGGTAACTTCAGCTAATACATCAAGAAAAGTAATTTCAATCTTATCTTTTTATTGCACAATTTAGTGGCGAAAATCAAACATTACATATGTAGTGAAAAATTTGATTAATAAACCTCCTAACATTACAAAATAACAAAAATAGGTTAAAAAGGACAGACTATAATGACGCCTTCTGGAATCGTAAAGAGCCGCGAGATGAATTATTTTGAAACGATTTAAGTTTTTCATTTCCCTCGCACTTTCTAGAATTTATTTCTTAAGTCTAAACTAGAATAACACGATCTGTTTTGCCCTAACCGCACACAGCACGCCGTCCTTGTGCGGAATCGCAATTCTTTCTTCCTCAGATCAAGTTCAGGTATTATCCATCTTCTTATTGGACTATCATCGTCTCTTATCTCCTTGTTAGGCTCTGTTTGCAATCACTTAAAATAAGTGATTGTGACTTTTTTCTAAGAAAAAAACACTTATTTTCCCAAACATTACCAACTTTTACTTTCTCGGTTTTCGTGTAGAATCTACTTTTTACTTTTTCTATTACACAAAAAGCACTTATTTTACCAAACACTACCAACTTTTACTACTAATCACTTTTTCCCAAAAAGTACTTTTATTTAAGCCCAAGCATTTGCAAACAAACCCTTAGTGGGTATTCAATATGAGATCTACGGATTGTTTATTTATATACAGATCTTAGTTGACGATTAATCATTCTGAATCGGGATATTGTGACGTTGTAATTTTCCCACCATGCTTGACCCAGAGGAGTTGAGTCCTCTTCTGTTTATTAGATCAATATCCTTCATTACGAAACTTTTCCTTCAAAGAAATTGAAGCGATTTCAAATTTTCTACCAGTTTTCTCATGAGCCTGTTTGTGCCCTTTATTCTTTTCTAAAGGATTTGTTAATGTCCCGATGATTTGAAATCTAGAATCCAATCATTTAATGTCCTGCTTTTTTTGTTAAACAAATGTCCCAATCTTTAGAGTGTAGGTGAATTTAATAATTTATTAATCTGCTATTCTGATTCCTGTTTGTGAGTCTATGCAGCTAAAGTGTTTGACAATAATCCTAAACCAAAACCAGGCACAAGCAAATAATATCTATATTCTATAAAGTATATGCGTGTCATGTGTAGTGTATACCATATACGGAGTAATCCTTATTGAGTGTTGTTACTTTGTGCTATTGATAGGACTATGTAAGTACAATATTGCAGAAAATGGTAGTTGAATGATACTGTAATAAAGTTAGATTGTATAAATTATTTAAAGATATACTAACCATAGAAAGATCTGAACTTGTATAAAGCGTATTGTTTGCTCTTTCCTATAATAAGTGTATTAAAATTGAGTAACGTGATGGGTTCATGTTTTTCTCAATTCATGGGTTGACTCTTGGTTCTAGTTTTGATAAGAAATATTGTGAATTTTATACTTCTAGATCATGGTGCTAGAACATGTTTTTGTGAGTTATCTAACAATCTTATAATTTGTATACCCTAACAAAGTTGCTTGGTGAATAGGGTACTTCACCTGGTATACTCTTTGAGTTATTGACCAGTATGCATCACGGTTGAGTGCAGAAGAATGATGGCGAATTAGAGCAAGCATTTGATTGGGATCAAATGGAGACCAAGTGGTTAGAAAGGAAACATCTCCATATCATGGCTTGAGTGGTGAGAGGCAAAGATTATCCAAGAAAACCAATGCTATGCAACAACAATTCTACTCAATATTGGGGCATAGTGGGCTTGCCATACTTCTCTAACACAAGATTGACACACTTGAGGTGGAATTGAAGATAAGCATAGCAAGGAGTAGAACTTTTAATTAGAATAATATTTTTTAGATGTTAAATATTGAGTTGTTGCTCTTTTATACTCAAACGTCTCTCTTAATTGTTGTAATTTTAATGAAGCAAAGTTAAGTTTAAATTTATCATGTATTTTGTAATGAATATTCTTCCTTATACAATTGATTCGTTTAAATGTATGGAGACATTGGGCATATATCTTGTGTTCATAGATATTTGGCTCTAATTAAATTATGATGTTCGTAAGATTTTTCGGTATCGGCACAAGTGTTTATCCTACATTCCTACCACTTCATATTTGTCTACATACATATTGTTTGTGTACTAAAGTATTTCCCTAGAAATATAATTTGTGGGCATAAATAATGTGTCTCCATAAATACATTTGTGACAAGAGAGTTATACACACAAATTTAATTTGTATTCTTAAGATTTGTCTTCTTATATATGTCCATACAAAGTGTCACTATTTGTGGGCTAAACTCTTTTGCTTCAAGCTTTGCCCTACAAATATGTCCACAAATTAAATTTGTTGGGAAAGAATTGAGACTACAAAAAATGACCTTTGCATACAAAGATAACATGTAGGAAAAAGGTAAATATGTTGTAGTGGTTATACTCAAATCAATTATATACTCATTAAAAAGAATTTAAAAGAGTAAATGGACCAACGAAAAAATCATGCATCTTTATTTTTCTTCATTACTAATTGTATTTTACTTATTAGTATTAATATATAATATTACTCCGTACTATATAATACTAAAAGAAATTTAAAATTTTGGGGCCCCATAAATTCGGGGGCCCTGTTCTGGATAACCTATTGAACCCCCTAAAAAACGGCCCTGACTGGATCATATCTCAATTTTGGGGCATCAAATGCATCAATGACTCGAAGCGCTGATGCAGGGGAGCAGGAGCTGCTAGGATTTTCCTCGACGGAAGCTTCTGCTTCCAGTAATAGGCTCACGACTTTGTGCACAGGCTCCTTGTCCAAAATCGCAGATTTCACTGCGGAGACAAATCAAAATGCAGTCGAATTAAACTGATATGAATAATCAGGTCGATTTGAGCAGAAATATTCAACTGGAGTGTTTAAAAGTACGGACGGGAAAGGTGGTGGAGCTCGTCCAGAAGGAGGTCGAGTGCTTCGTCGTGGGAGTCGGACGGGAAACGGTCAAGGAACGAGAGGACCTCCGACAGGGCATCCACTTTGAGAGTGTAGCCCCTCATTTTGAATTTCCTCTGCACTTTGTTCCTTATTGCTCCTCCACTCATCTTTGCTCTCTCTACGCTGCACCTGCAATCTACGTTTGTGTGAGAATTGGGCTGGAGACGACACATTTATTAGGTCTGGAGACGACACATTTATTAGGGCTGGAGACGACACATTTTTTTTTAGGTCTGGTTCTCGGAAATCGCCTGAGACACCCTTGTGTAATTAGGTTCATTTTATGATCTTTGTGTAATTATGTTTTTTTAAGGATTGTGTAATTATGTTTAAATAAATATGATCAAAAAAAATATGTTTAAATAAATAAAATATGTAGTATATTTTAATGAATATGGTGTGAATATGTATCAATAATGTGTAATGCACTATTTCAATGACGTGATCAATGAAACTTCAGTGTTGTAGTCACTGTAGTCAGTATCAGTCACCCTAGAAGAAGACGGTGATAAGAGATGATGTTCTCGTGAAATTTCATTACACATCTATCTATTGCGAGAGAAATGAGTAGTCTAGGGAAGGGTTGTGCATGCGCTGTTTGGACAAGATGCAACAACTGCTACCTGAGATCTGACTAAATCAGTCTTGAACCTATGGTGATTGTTTGTAGTATTTGAGTGACTATGGTTGATTCATCGACTGATAGCGAAGTCACGGTAGCAGACTCATCGTTGATTATTGTTTTCTTGCTCATTGGAGCATTGTGCTTCCTCACCTTCATATTGTTCACTCAATTACTCAGTCACTCTCGGCTTTGTCCCTTGAACAGGCTTAGTTGAGTTTACTAGGCCATTGAGACATATCTCTCATTGATCTGTTTCTTTCTTTCTTTCTTTTCTTTTCTCTCTGTGCTCCCCCTCAACTGAAGCACTCAGAATGCTTTATCATCATTTGGCACCGAGAAGGAGACAATTGAAAACTCCCCCTTAATATCTACAGTACCCGTGCATATGCACGGGAAAATAATCGATGGATATATTTGCAATCATGATCTAATTAATTAGAAAAGGAAATTATTTCAAAAAACTGCATTTCTTCTTAAAAGCAAGTACAACATCTCAATATCATAAAGTGTAAGTGATAGCGTATTAATCCTAGAGAGAAGTGAGAGCTAGAGAGAGAAAGTGAGTAATTATATTTCTCCAATTGGAAAGGGATCCCCTATAATTAGCCCCTTGGGGTCTATTTATAGGTAAAAATGTGGATTTGGGCCCCTAGCCTTGGGCTTAGGAGGCCCATTACAATAATTATGCCTTCTTTGGGCAAATAAGGCCACTAATGGGCTGAGTACAACACTTAGTACATAAAATAGAAAAATACATTCTGTCCGGGCGAAGTTCGGACGATGCGGTCCATGGACGATGCGGTCCATGGACGATGCGGTCCATGGACGATGCGGTCCATGGACGACGCCGTCCAAATAAATCAGGCGATATCTTCTTTCTTGGACGCTACATGCCTCTGGCCGATGCGGGTGTCCCGCTGGTGTCTTTTGGGCCATTGAGTATGTGGGCTATGGGGTCCAGGCCCATATACTCTATCAGGAGTCCCCCACTCTCTGAGCTGAGGTGAAGCCGAAGCGAAAGGGAGTACTTGTTCCCTTCCGGCGGGCCGTTGCGTGGGCCTAAGGTGTCTGATGGCCGAAGAGTTTCTGCTTCGACTTTGGATGAAGCGGTTCCCTTATTTGATGTAGATGAAGCGTGCTTGGGCATTCATGACCTTGGTGCGGGCCGATGCGCTCTCTGTGGGAGTGCTTTTGAAGACGAGGTGATGCGCTTTCTTTTCTGTAGATGTGATGAATTTTGGTGTGGACAAGTTGACATGCTTTTATTGTCATCTTGTTGTTGTTGAAGAGCTCCCATCTATCCTTTTGGCCGTAGCGAAGACCTATTTTCATGAGATGAAGATGGTTGATTCTGTTTATGTAGACGATGCGATGCGCACCTCCGTTTTTGTTATGCGGCCGAAGCGTTTTGACTTGTGAGTTTTTGTTATGGTGAGACGATGCGGCCCTCTCAGTGTACGTAGCCGTTGCGCTAGATTTTTTTTATCTTGGGGTTCTAATTCCTGGGCTCTGTAGCCGATGCGATCCCCAGTTCTTTTGTTGTTGGCAAGCCGTAGCGCACCCTTTTGTATTAAGGCCGTTGCACTTCCCTTTTCTTGTTTCCGATACAGTCCCCCAGTCCCCCACTCCTTTGGCCGAAGAGCATCTGAGGCACAAGGGAGTACTGAGCCGATCCGGTACCTGTGCGTTAGTCGTGACTCCAACCCTTAGGCGAACCTGTCCAAGGTAACCCTGTGGGAGAACCCTTGGACGAAGGCCGCAATGCCAGGGTTATCACCGACGATGCGCGCACAAGCGGCCGTAGCGGCCTATTAAGGCTCCTTGGGTTGCTGTGAGGGTGTTGAGTTTAGGCCGATGCGTTCCCCTTTATCGGGTGTGTGGGCCGATGCCTGCTTTGGAACCTTGTAGTAGTTGGGCCGTAGCGGTATTCAGCCGATGCCTTGCTGTTTGTAAGGCTGAGTTGGGCCGTAGGGATGCCTGTATGAGTGATTTTGGATTGGTGCCCTTTGGTTGGGGGAGAGGTGGCCGTTGGTGGAGCCAATGGGATGGCGCCACGTGTAGTGACCGTTGGAAGGTCTCTATAAATATCCCCTCATTCCGAAGCCGCCTCCTCATTTGTGTCTTGCTGTTGTCGAATTGCTGCCCCTTTGTTTCTAGAGAGAGAAACTCCCGAAGTTTGTTCGAGTTTTCGCCAGATCTTCAAACCTCCAAGGTTAGGTTCTTGACTTGTTCTTCGTTTTTCTCTTATACTTTGCTTCCTAGGTGGTTAGATCTAGTGTTCGTAGGAAAGTCACTTTGATCCGAGAAACCACCCTTAGGAATAAACTTAGGTGTTATGCCGTTTCCTGACGGCCGTAGCATCCCCTCCCCTATTGACTTGACAGCTTCGTTGGACGAAGAGGATTGGCCCTTTGACGAGGACGAGACGTCCCCTCGGGTTGATTTGCGGGTGATTGAAGCCTTTGAGGTGGAGATGGAAAACACTGCTGACTACCGTACCTCAGTGGACGAAGAGAGGCTTAGTGCTGATGCGGGTGCGCACAGTTCTGGGGAGGACGAGGCGAGCTCTGAGCCTAAGCTTCAAGGGGATGGAGCGGGTGATGCCTCTTCTGCCGCCATTCCTTGTCCTCCTCCGATTTCTTCCGTCCCGGGAACCGTCCCTCCGCGTGTGAAGAAAAGTAGGTCACGTCGGCGGAGAGGTATGGCCGTCGGCCGATCTCAATTGGATTTGACCAACATATACCTCATCAAGCCGGAGTGTTCGCCGAGTGAGTACCAGGTGGCTCAACTGTATGTAGGTCCTTATGGTCGGGTTAGGGCCCCGAGGCCGACAGACCACGTCCTAAATCCTCCCAGCGGCTACTTCGGGGTGTATCCGATGGCATTCTCGAAGGGCCTAAGGTTTCCGTTGCATCCTTTCGTAGCGGAATATTTGAACATGATAGATATTCCTCCGGCGTTGTTAACTCCAAATAGCTACTCCCTCATCGTCGGGTTCCTCCTCCGATGTGGTGAGTTGGGGATGGAGCCGACGACGGCTTTATTTATGAATCTGTACCGTATCGGGCGAGGGAGTCATGAAAACTGTGCTGGATATGCGGCCCTTCAGCAACTACCGAAGAAGAGGTCTTTCACCGATCTTCCTTCATCAATCCATGGATGGAAAGCAAAATTTTGCTTCGTGAAGCTGGCCGATGGGGTCTTCTTCCCCTCTCAAGGTCATAGTGGTGTTTTTAATCTGCACGATCCGCCGAGGAGTGCTGAGATTGATGCCCAAGTGGAGGCCTTCCTCGAGGGGGGGCCATGGAGTGTTGATAAATATATCACTGAGTTCAAAATTGCCGCCCTTGGTATGATGAGGTACTTCATCCCCGGTGACCCCGACTGTGGGCTATGGCCGAGGATGTCTGGTTACTTTGAAGAGGCCGATGGGCCCTACCTCGGCGTCCCAGCCGATGCCGAAGGTTGATTACTTTCCTCTGATCCTTTGTACTTTGTATACCTTTTGTTTCTAACTCTGTTTTATGTTCGCATCTGCAGGATTCGAGATGAGTCGCAAGCTTTTTATGACTCAAGCCAAGAAGATGGTTGACAAGGAAATGCAGGCTGCCCAGCAAGCCGATGCGTCCAAAAGCTCGGCTGATGGCTCAAAGGGCCAGGCCGGTGCCGCAAAAAAGGCTGCGGCTCAAAAGAAGAGGAGACCCGCTGAGGGTCAGCAAACTCTGGCCGAAGCGGGGTTGAAGCCGGCCCAAGGGGTCAAGAAACCGAGGCAGACCCTTCCTTCTGATGTTGCTACGGCTGCCTCACAGGCTCCGGTCCAAGGGGATGATGCCTCGGAGGTTCAGGTGATTGAGGACCTGACGCTGGGTAAGGCTTCGGACGCCCTTGTCCCCGCTCCGTCCAACTTCAACAGAGCTACTGATGCTGGTGCTCGCTCCGGTCGTGGACTGTCCACCGGCTTATATGAAGTGACGGTGCGGTATCCGACGAAGGGCGGGCTCTTCAATGAGAGAGTCTCTGGCCACGACGTCCTGTTTCAGGCCATTCCCGATGAAGATAGGGCCTATCTTCGTCGTCAAGGCAAGGAAGTGCGTCTCTTCGATGGCGGGTTGGACTACGTCGTCCAAGTAGGTTCCTTGCTTTTGTACTTGACGATTTTTTCATTTCCCCCCCTTTTTTTTCTTGCCCGACTTTTGTCTGACTTCGGTTTTGTCTTTGCAGGGGGCCTTCATGCTGATGGAGCAGCATCGGCGGCAGGAGGAGGAGATCGCTCGCCTTCGGGAAGCTGAGAAAAAGGTTGCCTCGGCCGATGAGGCCTTGGCTTCCCTGGAGCTTCTCCGATCCGAGGTCAGCTCCCTTAAAGAGAAGGCCGATGCGGCTGAGAACAGGGCCGTTGCAGCTGAGGCCAAATTGGAGGGGGAGGCCGCAGCCCGCCGGTTGGCAGAAGATAAGGCGAAGAAGGCCGAGGAGCTGAAGGCCGAAGCGGAGAGGGCTGCCGAGAAGGCTGTTGATCTGTTCATGGCCGAGGGGTGGAAAGCCGATGAACATCGCCAGTTCTGCTTTCAGGTGGTGGCCGATCGCTTCCATGCTTGGTCGCAAGAAGACCCGGCTGGTCAAGCTTTTTGGAAGCAAGAGATGGAGGTCTTCTATGACCTTGGGCAACGGCGTATGCAAATGCTCATTTACCGGAGGCTTCGCCGGCGTGTCAAGAATCTGAGGCCCCAGGGTATCGGCCTCCCCAGACCGATGAAGGACCCTGAGGAGGAGTTGAAGCTTCCATTGGCCGAGAGGCAGCGCCCCATTCTGAGCTCCGATGAGGAAAAAGAGCCATGGACCGAAAGTGACGACTATCTCTTCCGGACTTCAGCTAAGTCAAAAACCGCCGAGGACGACGAGGATGACGCCGATAGTGGGGCTGTTGATGGGGGCCAGGGGCAGGCTGGAGATGTAGCTTAGTGTTCCTTTTCCTCTTTCATTTTTTTTGTCTCAGACGTAGCGTCTGGTAGATTAGTGTTGGCCGAAGTGCCCCTTTTTTGTAATGGCCGAAGCGCCCTCCTTGTATGTTCTGAATCATTAATGACGACTTTTTTGTTCAAGTATGAATGTTGTTCCTCGCTTCGATTTCTCTTTTATGTTTGGTGTTTGGTTTGTTGATGCCGCGTCGTCTGACTAACATTGCTTCGCCAGTTTTTACTTTGGCGAATTTGCCAAGTCTGGGACGATGCGTTCCATCGTTTCCTTTGTGTTGATGTGGGGGCACCCTCGCCTTACTGGTATGTGTGTGAGGACGTCGCGCGTGTTCCCTGCATCTGATATAAGGGACGATGCGCCCCTTCGTCGGTATTGTTGTGTTTAGAACATGTGTTTCAAAAATTTTACCAAGTGTTGAAACTTTTCCTTGGCGCGGCGCTACGTCCTTTGCGTCTTAGGTAAGGCATGGCCCCAAAGTCCTGAAATCTTTCTAAGTGCCAAGAGTTTATCTTGTGACATCCGTCAGCTGAGACGTAGCGACCTCCTTTCTTTGAAGACGATGCGCCTCGTCGTCCCTTGATGAATTCCATTTTTGCCTTTACATCTTTCCCGAGTCGAGTTTTTGGAACTTAATCCTGAAGTGTTGAGGACGTAGCGCTTCGTCTCAAACTTGTCTTGATGGAGCTGTTTTGCTTCGGTTCGTCGCTTGGTTTTTGCTAATTGGAGACGATGCGTCCCATCGTCCAAGTAATGGACTGTGGTTTTGTATAACCGAAGCCGAAGCGATTCCCTTTAGTGAAGCTATGGTTGGGGCCGAAGCGTGCACTCCGGTTCCCTGTATAGTGAAAACCTGATATGTACTTAGCCAATTTTGAGGCTTGGTTTTTGTGGGGATTTTGTTTTATGCTCGAGGCCGGCGAGTGCACGGTCCGTCGGCTTCCCTTTTTTTTTTTTTTTTTTTTAGGTGGCCGAAGGGTTACTGTCCCTTCGTCCGTGTGCGGTAGTTTGTCCGCTACGCTTTTCGCGTGAATTAGTGCGAGGGAGTAAATACGCCCTCGGCTTGGTGTCAGTGGCTTCCTTTTTTGGCCTTTCCACGTCTATCATCGACGAGGGACCGGACAAGGCATCGTCTTTTGACGGCCGCCCTTTGTGGTCCTGAGCGAAATTTTACTGACGGGTGGAGTTTTTGTAACCTCAGCCTTAATTCAGGCCTTGTCGTCCTGCGGTTTCCGCGCGGACGACGCGGTATGCTTCTCCGTTTGAAGACGTTGGACCATGCACACAGGTCCTTCGTCCTGCATATCGCCGGCCGATTTGGGTGTTTCACCGCTTGTGCCGATACGATATTTAGGTGCGTTGTTTATTGCAACGGCTTTATAGGCGCGTTGTGGATCGCAACGGCCTTAGGTGCGTTGTGTATTGCAACGGCTTTGGGTGCGTCGTTTATTGCGACGGCTTTAGGTGCGTTGTTTATTGCAACGGCTTTGGGTGCGTCGTTTATTGCGACGGCTTTAGGTGCGTTGTTTATTGCAACGGCTTTGGGTGCGTCGTTTATCGCGACGGCTTTAGGTGCGTTGTTTATTGCAACGGCTTTGGGTGCGTCGTTTATCGCGACGGCTTTAGGTCGCATCGGACCCGGGTGATTGCACCGCTTAGGCCGATGCGGTCCTTAGGTTTACCTTTGTTCAAATCTTTGGATGAAACATGAATTTTATTCAATAAGTGGCGCTAGGCCGAGGGTGTTTTATTCAACCAATAAGCCGAGGGGTGGGGGACGTTGCCCGCTTCACCACTTCTCGAGTCATTGGTAAAATTTCACCAGGTGGTGTACATTCCACAATCGTGGTACATCTGACCCATTAGGGTTCTTTAGTTTGTAAGTGCCGGCTTTGATGACGGCGCTGACGATGTAGGGCCCTTCATATTTGACGGCGAGCTTTCCTCCTTCCGTCGGCTTGCTTGCTTCCCTTCGGCGGAGGACGTAGTCCCCCACTTGGAATTCGCGAGAGCGGACCTTGGCGTCGTAGTAGGATTTGACTTGTCGTCTGTAGTTTTCTGCCCGAAGGTAAGCCATCTCCCTCCTTTCATCAATGAGGTGCAAATCAATCCTCATGGCTTCTTCATTGGCTTCGGGGTCGTATTGTGTGACCCGTCGGCTGGGGAGGGTGACTTCAGTGGGAGCCTTGGCTTCGAAGCCATAGCATAAGGAGAATGGTGTCTCCCCGGTGGCCCTCCTTGGCGTGGTGCGGTAGGACCATAGGACGTTGGGGAGCTCGTCGACCCAACTTCCGCCCTCTTCCTCGAGTTTCTTCTTCAGCCCCTCCAAGATGGTTCTGTTGGCGTTCTCAACCTGCCCGTTGGCTTGAGGGTAGGCAACGGAGGAGAAACGGTGCTTGATACCCCATTCTTGGAGGAGGCTTTGGAACGGTTCGGCCTCAAACTGGGTGCCGTTGTCTGATATGATCTCCTGGGGCACGCCGAAGCGGGTGAGGATGTTCTTGTAGACGAACTTACGACACCGCGCTCCGGTGATGCTCGCGAGTGGTTCGGCCTCGACCCATTTGGTGAAATAGTCGATGGCTACGATGATGTATCTGTTGTTGGCCGCAGCTCTTGGTAGAGGGCCGACGAGGTCGATGCCCCATCTGGAGAATGGGATGGCAGTGCTGACCGGGGCGTAGTTGACGGCTGGTCGGCCAGGTGCCCTTTGATAGTGTTGACATGCGCTGCATTTGCGGGCGACCTCAGCACAATCACGCGCCATCGTCGGCCAGAAGTAGCCTTGGACGACGAGGCGGCGCGACATGCTGAAGGGCCCCTGATGCGATGAGCATACGCCGCAGTGGACTTCTTCCATGGCCACCTCGGCCTCATTCTGGTGGAGGCACCGGAGGAGGGTGCCATTGTATGATCTTTTGTAGAGCTTGTCACCCTCAATGACATAGCTTGGCGCCCTAAGTTTGGCGAGTTTGGCCCTCTCCTCGTCTTCAGGTAGTGTGCCGGAGGCGATGTAGGTTGCGATGTCAGTGATCCAGTCCTCCGGCTGGTGTTGTATGGAGAGTATGGGGCTAGCGTGAATGCTTGACATGCTCAACTCCTCCACCTTAGCTATCTTGGAGATGTGCTCAGGGGTGTCGGAGCTGAGTTTGGAGAGGATGTCGGCCTCGGCGTTCTCCGCCCTTGGGATCTGAGTGATCTCGTAGGTATCGAATGCCTTGAGCAATTCCGCAGCGGCCTCCTTGTATTGCTTCATCCTCCCTTCTTTGGCCTCGTAGGAACCCTCCATCTGGCTCACTACGAGTTTGGAGTCGCATTTGATTCTGACGTGGCGTGCTTTAAGGCCAGCGGCTAGTCTGAGTCCGCTAAGGAGCGCTTCATACTCGGCTTCATTGTTGGATACTTTGAAGTTGAAGCGGATGGCGTAGTACGCTCTGAAACCTTCCGGGGAGATGAGGACGACGCCACCTCCACAAGCTTTGGTGGCCGAGGACCCGTCCGTGTAGAGGGTCCAGGCTTCGTCCGGTTCAGCTCCTGTGGTGGTAACGGCCGTCTCCCTTGCCGTGCACTCGGTGACGAAGTCAGCTAAGGCTTGCCCTTTGATGGATGGCCTCGGCTTGATCTCAATCTGGTACTGGCTCAGGAATATCGCCCATTTGATCATCCTTGGAGAGCTGGTTGGGCTCCTCATGAGGGCGCCCAACGGCTGATGCGTGAGGACGTGGACGGGGTGGGCCTGGAAATAGTGCCCCAGTTTTTTCACCGTGTGGACGATGGCCAGCACCGTCTTCTCAATGGGGGAGTACCTGAGCTCGGCCTCCCGCAACGTCTTGCTGACGTAGAATATTGCCTTTTGTACTCCGTCATCCTCCCTGATGAGTACGGAGCTGACGGCCGACGTGCTCACTCCTAAATAGAGGAAGAGA